AGAAGACATGTCTACATGCTTTTTTTGCCCTGAACAAACTACAGTAATTACAGCGTAACATGATGTAAAAAAGTTTCAGAACCAGTCAGATGGCTTTGTCTGTTTTTTTTTTCTACTTTAGCACCTTTATTGTAAATACTGACTGTGTGAAGAAAGAAAGAGAAAAAAAAGAAAGTTGTTTCTGCAAACTGAAAATCATTAAAAAATAGAAAACAAAAATAAAGCCTACAATTTGTTTGGTACACATTCAATAATCGTACACCTCTGTGTCTTTGGTTGGTAGTGCTGACAATAGATTTACAATGAAGACAACAACCAAGGTTCAAATGATATCGTATGTTCATGTGTGTCTGTGTGTGTTGGTCCTGCGTGGTTTGTTTTTGTAATCTTCACCCATGACAACAGGATATGTAGCCATCTCAGTGCTTCCATCCAGTAATGATAATGATGACAGAGGTGTGCTTGGTGCCTCTGTGTGTGTTTACGTGTACACTGAAGGAGCTCGTCCTTCTTCATCCTATGGATTCTAACTCTATGGTGTAGAGCGTTACAGTTCCTCACTAGCATATCCAGCGGACAAAGCGCTCAAAGAACGAGGGTTTGTTCAGCATGGTGTAGTCGCCCCCTCTAAAGATGGCCGACATGTCCCCTAGCGACACCTTCCGCAGGACCTCCTCGTCGGTGTCGCTCCCCATGGCGATCACCGTGGGAACGCCTTCTGCTCTTTTCATGGCGCTGACGCCCTCATCCAGCTGGTCGCTGGACGTGATGCCGTCAGTGATGAAGACAAAGGCCACCTCAGCGTTGCGGCGAGATGAGCGGCCGGCGGGCTACAGACACAACATTAAAGGAATAGTAAAGGAACGTTTTAGGAGGCGTTGTAGAGGGGCTGTGTTTCTGAATCTTGGAGAGAACCAGAGAAGCTATTTCCCTCTGGATCCAGTCTCTAACTAAGCTTATCACATCCAGGTCACAGGCTCTGTACCATAAATGTTTGACATTTTGGAACACATACCTTCTGATCTAGATCAATATGGCTGTAATATCAGTATGATGAACAGGGAGCTACAGCCAGGAGATGATAAGCTTAACTTGGGTATGAAAACAGAATAAAACTCTGTACAAATACAAACGAATCCCCCTACCAGCTTCTTCAAAGTTCATCAGTTAACAAATTATATCTAACATGTTTGATTCCAAATGAAAAACAAAGTGTAAATATGATAACTTAGGGTAGATGTATTATCAGCTAGCAGTGACTCATGAACATCTTTCAGTTGCCAACCAGCACAGTCTAGAAAATCAACAGCCATGTTTCCATATAGCCTCAGAGTAAACTTGAAGCAACTGGTAAAATGTTGAAAATGTTTTAAAAAATAAATTTAGTGTGTTTCTATCTCCTCCTAAGCACATTACCTCAGTTTCAAAAAAGCAAAAAAAACAAACAAACAAACAAAACCATTCAATAAGAATTGAGAATTTTTATAGTCAAATCTTGTAGCTTCCAATAACTTTTTCTGATACCATACTTTAAAATGCTCATTAAAATACATTATAGAAATGCAGCTACAAAGTTTGGCTGAAACAATGTGACTGTGAACCCTTGGAAAGCCTCAACCTGTCAATTCACACTTAAGCTTTTGTAAAGGATTGGGGAAAAAAATGACGTTATGTTTTAATTCAATTTAATTCAATTCTATTTATATCGCGCCAATTTAAATATGTCATCTCATGGCACTACACATAGTAAGGTGAGGACCTTACAAATTATATTCAGAGAAACCCAACAAAGTTTCCTTTGGCTTCCCTTTGAGCACAAAGAGCCTCCTCTACCTAACTGATGAGCTTTAGATGTGCAGGTGGTCACACTCAGAATTGTCACTGATTGTGAAGCTGTTTTTAGAAAGGACAGTAAATAAGTCAAGTGTGTATGTTTGTTGTACCTTAACCACCACGTTGTTGACGGCGTGGATGATTGCGCTGCCCAGAGCTGAAGATGAATCCATGTAGTTCACGCCTGCCAGCGAATCAGAGATCACTGCGATGTCGTGTGTGAGCGGGAACTCCACTTTCTGCTCTGTCGGGCTGCCGTACTGCAGCAGAGCCAAGCGGGCATTCCTATCGTCTGTCGGGCCGTTGGCCAGGATGAGGCGACGGGCGACGTTCTCGATGAACTCTTTGGCCCTGCGGTGGTTCTCCAGGCCCATCCTCTCAGAACCATCCAACATGAAGATGACATCCACTGGCCGCTGCACACACGGAGCCACAGCCGGCTCTGGAAAAGACACACACACACATAAATAACAGCGTTCAGTGAGCTACAGCTGCGCAACAGATGCTCGAAAGTTAAAGGCAGCAAAAAAATATATGATAACATGCTGTAATTTCATACATGCTAGCTGCAGTCCAGCTGTTTGATTCCGTCTAAACCTTCAGGATCGGCCTCATCAAGAAAGCACTGTTTTAGTTTGCTCTACCATTTTATTCTCTTGAGACAATATGAAAACACGAATACATTCCAATTTTAAAGAAAACAACATTGTTCACATCAGCAAGTTGCAGTCACAGAGTGAGAACGGTACCATAACATTTGGTTAACGGCACTCTGTGGTCTTTTCCCTCTAGTCATCCCACTTCACAAGCCCAGCCACATGCGGAAAAACATGCACCAATCAACGGCACAGCATACAATAGTTCCTTCATTGTCGGTGCCAAGTCAATCAACCAAACATCCACCACTTCTGACTCATATACAGTATGCTGTGATATGTATGTATAAAACCAGATTTTTTCCACATGTAATAGCCTTTCACCAACATGAATCATTCACAAGGAAAAAAAACCCCAAAAAACGGCCGTAACCATGGATATGTGCAAAACAGCAAAAAAAAAAAAAACTGTCATCAGAGTGATTCAGCGAGCTCGTGATTCACAGTGGAAATGAGGCTTCATCAAAGAGCCACTGTATACGAGTAGCATAAAGGCCTCTACAGACTGCAGCTTTCCATTTGAATGGAAAATGTTCCTCCACTAAGTTGGAAGAAGTGATATGTATATTATTAACAGCGCCACATATGTATGTTAATTCAGAAACATTCAATGAGGAGAAGGAGCATCAGGAATCCACATTTTGACTTTTGGCCCATCCTACACAGTCACTACACATAATTCTGTTCTCAAAGCTTATTACAGGACCGACTACACATCATGCGATTCTGTTGCATCAGCCCAGGTGTGTATTGCACCTGTAGTTATGAAAAAAATGCCCACAGTTTTAATAAAATCTACTGTATGTCCAGCATTAAGCTCATTAGTCACTAGGCATTCATAAATGCGAGGTAGCATGGTTAGCATATTAGCATTAGCAAAGTCCTATGGCCTTCTCAGGGCTTCCCATAATGTCTCCGTAGACATATTTGAAGGAGTCGATGAACAGCCGGGTCCACTGCTGCCTGTCCTCTCCCTGGGCGAGTTTGGCTCTCTGGGCTGTGTACGCCATGGTTGCCACGCCAACCCCGTACTGCTGCTCGCTCAGGCCGTTCAGCAGGCTGGCCACACCCTCCAAAGAGGTGGGGACCAATGAGGGGCTGCCTTCTTCGGCCAGCGGCTTCCAAGGGGGCGGGGCTTTCCCCGCTGCGACGCCCCCTCCTGCAACAAGTGGGCGGAATAACATTGTGGGCGGAGTCCCACAGACACGACGCATCAACACAGCCAATTAAGATGCTGGAGGTAGAACACCGGGGTTGCGCTAAATTTGATCTTAATGACTTTACAGCCCCATGATTTAATGGCACCAGAACAAAGGAGGTGTAACAGCTGTACGATACAGCCACAATGCGGCTAAAACTTATACGAGGGTATTTCAAAAAGTTTTCAGCCTCGCCCAAAAACATCCCAGGAGAAAGACTGTTCTTGTAATATTTTTCAACAAAGTCTCCTTTAACTTGGTCCAATGGTGTTCAATCTTTACTATCCTTTTACGTAAGGTCACAACTTGAGCCTCCAGATACCCCAACAGCATGCATGACATCATTATCAATCTGAAAATGGCAACTACGTCAGTGCGATTTCAGTTTGGGAAACACATAGAAATCAGACGGTGCAGGTCTGGTGAGAAAGGTTCATGGGGGAACAGTTCGAAGACAGGTTTTGCTGCTTCTGCAAAGTGTGCTGTGTGGACGGACGCATTTTCCTGAAGCAACAGCAGCCAGCTTAAAGCTTACCTCCCCGTTTTTCTTTAATGACGTCAAACATTTGAGTTTTGGTGGAACGTGATATAAGACTTGATGGTATACAGTTAAGCCCCAAAATGGGAATTACGCCTCTTGTTTCCGGATTCAGATTCAAACTATTTGAAGTACCCTCGTAGTTTAAAGGCATCAGTAAGTGTCATCAGAACACAGATCTATCGGACAAAGTGTTTATACCTGTTGAAAAGTGAGGTGAAAAGCACAGAGGCACATTGATTCATACACACGGGTAGAAGATGTTATACTACACTATGTTTCAAAATCTTACCTGATTTACAAGGCAGATCAGGGCAGATGATGACAGGATCTAAAGCAGAAAAAAAGACAATGTCAGAGGAAACCAGCCAGTAACAAACTAGCCTTCGATAGTCTTATTGTTTGCTTTCTTTGTGTGAGTTTACCTGGGCAGAGCACATTCTCAATCTTATCAATGAACTCCTCTGCCACGAGGTCTGCAAAGCGTCTCATGCCCATCACTCTACCATCTCTCTGGCAGGCGATGCTCTTCAGACTCTCATTCTCCTCAATCTGTTCAAACATGTCGCCGATACCAATGGCGCTGACGTCCACACTGGGATCACTGTTCACATGCAATGAGATACAAGCAATGAGATCAAACCTTTATCTTCATCGCAAGCATTTATCTTAAAATCTCAAAATACACCCCCGAGGTTGCACCTGCAGAGGTAGGTGAGCAGCTTGTCGTCATCTCTGGGGTCGAAGCGTCCGTCGGTGATGACGACAACAGTGACATTGGCGTTGGCTCTACGGCTGTCCCTGATAAGGTTGTCGTAGGCATACTTCAGAGCAGATGGAGTCCACGTTCCTCCTGCAATCCACTCCAAACGCTTCATTGCATCCTAAACAGTGGAGAAAAAAGGATGTGAGCGATGTGTATGTGCTAGTTAGTACTGAGCATGAACAGTAAGGGAGTCGCTTCCATTAGATAGCCATCTTGGAAACTAGCGTTGGTTCCATAAAAAAGTGATGGCAGTAGACTGTGTTGAAGTAAAATTTTACTCACTTAGTCAGACTATTCTGTAGTAAAGAATGGTTTGGCTGCACTTTATTGCCATTCTGTTATGGTGGAAAAAATGATCTGGCTTGTTTTTTTTCCCCCTTAAGCCAGTCACAATGATCTTCGGTGGAGTTAAGTGGAGGATGCGGTTTTGGTGCTCCTTCAAAATAGCGACCGGTGGAATTGTTTTGGTGGAACATTTGCATGCAGGGAGGTGAGCATTGCCGTTAAAAATTATAATCCACCAAAAAAAAAAAGCGAGCAGGGCTGCCTTACTGCACAATACAAATCCAGATTTTCAGTGTAGTAGGTTGCTGTGTGGAGGCTGAAACACAGAGGCGGAAACAAGTGGTAGTCCTACACCGGTAGCATACATCTGGTAAGTCAGACTAAGGTGAAACTTACATATAGTATGCATTATAATGTAGGCTAAAAATGTAATCCTACGTTGACCGAATTATGTCTTTCTCCCACATGAAATCTATAAAAGACATTTCTAAGCAATGTTCAGCCGTGGTAGCACTGGTTAGCATGATAACATTATCACCTCAAGCAACCTATCTTGCTGTTTCTAAAAAAAAGAAATGTGCTGTATTGACATACACATACAACCAATGATTATGTATAGCATATATAACATATATTGTAAACAGCTACACTGAACTAATATAGATTATTTAGCGTATAGGTATCTGGGTCTTAGACTGTATATAACATTAGGACACAGCCTACAGGTCTGAAAAGTGAAGTCAATGGAATGATGGAATGACCTGAACCTTCATTCTTTCTAACAGCCAGCAGGGGGCGACTCCTCTGGCTGCAAATAAAAAATCTGATTGAACAGAAGTCCTTGAGAAAATGATTCTACGTCTCACTTGATTCGTAACCTCAGGAAACACATTTTACCTGAGTTTATGGTCTCAGTTGCTAATTTTTAAGGCTTGAACAATACAGCATTAAATTCATTTTGGAAATTATGGTTCCGTGTAAATATACGATGTAAGTATGTTTTAGGGCAGGGCTAAGATGGGATTTACAAATTCTACACTTGAGGCTTCCAAACAGTAGTCCACAAACCAATGGGTGACGTCACGGTCACCACTTCCTTCCTTTATATTAGGTCTATTATCTGGGTGAACTAACGTAACTGTGTTGTTACTCTGTATTGAAAAGGCCAATAAGTTATTCTGTGTCTCAATATTTTGCAACTGTGGTATTCAGCCTCGACCTTTTGGTTCTTACTGAGCACGACATCATTAGAGGCAGTTAACATGTTGTTATATATATATCTAAAACAAAGGTGAAATAGCTTCTGTCAACACCTGGGCACTGTCATTTGGAACCCATGTTATTTAAACAAGAGTAAAAAGCAGGTATGTTGGAACTAGCTTAAGCTGCACATGAATTCACATTTGCTGTTCCAGTAAGTATTTCTGGCAGCAGGACAGTGTTTGCTAGATGAACTCAAAATAGATAACAGAGCTACAACGAACTACAGTGTTTATGATCACGAGGGGACATGTCGTGCAGCAACACGTAACATGTGTTTTTAATAATTTTTGTCAACACTGAATCAATTTATTCTTTGTTACTGTCTTTTTACGGGACTTGGGAATAATGAGAAAAATATAGGTAATGTTGAGATAAATCCTTTAAGGTGGGCGTACAATCTTGTACGCCTCAGACTTTATGCACTGGTGGATGTCAGAAGTAAAGCAAGTGGGACGCATATGTAACTGGTGACTTCAGTCTGACATATTTGTGCAGACAGAAACCACATGTGATCAGCTTTGATTAATTAAGAAACATCTGGACAAAAGAGACAAAGGAACAGTCTGTACTACATCCTAAAAATAACCTCTGAAGCTACATGTGTACACGTGTGTTTGTGTATGTCTGCATGTTTGCGAGACCTTGAAAGCAGACAGCGAGTCGATCTTGGGGTCATTGAGACGAATGGCCTGGAAGGTTCCACTGTGACTGTACTGAACAACTCCCACTCTTGTGCCTGGGACACAAACAACCACGTTATTGCGTGCTTAAGTTGGCGACCATCTTGTAAAGTTTTGGCACTGCACATTTTAACTCTGACATGCATACCTGCTTCTGATGTTGGGTCTTTGGCAAAGGATCCCAGTCTGTTGATGGTGTTGATGACAAAGTTCTTCTCCAGGGTGAAGTTGGTAAGACCCACTGACTCTGAGCTGTCGATAACAAAAACAATGTCCAGGGCTCCGCAACGTTTCTCACAGTCTGGAGATAAAAACACAGATTACAAAGATCAGATAGTCCAACAATGTGTTTTTTTTAGATCACGAATGGTTATGCAACTAAACTCACCACAGCAGCCACATGTTTCCCTGATGTAGTTCATGACATCACATTCCTGCAGGGAGAAGCAAAATATATCATTATGTCCGTCATATCTTATGTGCGTTTTTGTTGATTTGATAAAGCTGTGATTGGATGAAATGTTCTTACTGTGAGGCCAGGGTCTCCCTCAGGACCAGAATCTCCCTGTAGAGCAAGAGAACAAAACTTTGTGACTGCCAGCAGGTAATGCTATATCAGAGCTTAGCTTTTTCAGCCTGGAAGCAGTTGGATATATTTTTTTATACTTACATCACGCCCAGGCTCTCCCCTTGGTCCTCTTAGTCCAGGTTCACCCTGAGGACCTGGCTCACCCTGTTGTAAGCAAAGAAACCATAAACATATAGATATACATACAATCCCTCCTCAAATAAGACAATACATTCATCCAAGAGTTATTTACCTCCTCTCCAGGAGTTCCTTTATTTCCAGGCTCACCCTTCTGACCACAGTCTCCTCTGCTGCCTCGAGGACCACGGTTGCCCTTCTCTCCTCTATCACCCTGTAGGTCAGCAGGAAAATTTGCGTCAGCTATGTGTGCCACATCGGCTAGAAAATGCAAGCAGAGTTAATGTGTTTGTATGTTACCGATGGTCCTCTTGGTCCAGGATAGCTAAAGCCAGGTCTTCCACCGTCTCCCTGAATAGAGACATAACAAAGAGTCAAGACAAAGAGCTGTATCTACAGACCTGATGATGAACCACAGAAGATGCTACCGCAGAGACAAACACAGATACAAACCTTTGGTCCGGGCAGTCCAGGATCTCCTCTTGGTCCAGCATCACCAGGGTCGCCTCTCGTACCCTACAATACAAACAATGTTTAACTGGAGTAGGTTTTTTGAACTCAAGACTCTCAAATGTGATCCTTCAACTAAGTGGCAGCTTCTAAGGCTCAAAAATGAAAAGAGAAATGAAAACTGCAGTTCCTCAAATAGCCACTTGAGGCTGGCTCTGAATGTGAGTCAATCCCCATAAACCCCCATATTAAAAGGCTCAACTTTACAACAGAAATAAACATGTTTCCAGTCTGGAACAAAAACAGTTTTGGTCTCTATCGCCAATTTTCCTGTCCCTCACAACTGTACAGGAAGTGAATATTTATATAGCTTACTCATTTAAATTATATTAGAGCTTAAAGAAATGCATAATTAAGGATGTTACTGCTTTGTGGGACAGGTGAGTGCCACCATGGGACAGTCCATGGCCCACCTAAGGTTCACTCATGTTCCACCACTTTGCTCATCTTTGAATTAGCAGAGAGTAGCCAGACCCAGATTCAAAACTGCTCTTAAGCAAATCTATGAGTGATGACACAAAGGGTTCATCGATCTTAATCTGCAGTCCATGCTTTTAACCTACATTTCTTCCTGGCTCTCCTGGTGACCCTGGTGGTCCCCTTGGTCCTGGTAAGCCATTATCTCCCTGTTTAGGGCACAGAAAGATTACAGTGAGTTCAGAAACACAAGGTACAATACTAGAATTTCAAGATTTAATAGTGTTCTAATGAACAAATACAAAGTATTGTGATAAAACAATTCCAACTACCTTTGTTCCTTTGTTTCCTGATTCACCTGGAAGTCCCCTCAAGCCCTCTGGCCCCATTTCACCCTAAAACACAGTAAATCAGTTTTCAGCCCCCTAGTGGTGCAGTAATGAAGCACACCTGGAGAGAAACAATTTGAGCCTATGCTTCATAATGCAGAAATATGGGCCACACTAAACTTGAACTCACCTTTTCTCCCTTACCGCCATCTGGTCCTTGCCCACCCTTTGGCCCATAGTCGCCTCTTCTTCCCTAGAAAGCAAGAGTCATTGAAGCCATCAGGCAATATTAGGACAGAGCTTGTAAGAGAACATATAGTTGTGGCTGATCAGACGTTCTTACAGGTTCTCCTCTGCCTCCTGCACTTCCAGGGATTCCCTAAGAAACACAACACACTGATAAGCAACTTGATGCGAAATCTATGAGTGGATCTTTACATGTATTTGTCTGCTGCGATGCGTCTTACTGGGTTTCCTTTCTGTCCAGGAAGGCCAGGTGATCCAGGACTTCCCCTCTCTCCCTGTGGATGAAACACCAGAGTTTAGCCTTTTACCTCCAACATGTGTAGCATGACCTCTGGTCTACTATTCTGGCCCAGCATATGGCCGCTGTCCCAGTGTTGTTTTTACCTTTGGTCCAGACTCTCCAGACGGGCCAGGAGGACCAGGTCTTCCAGGGCGTCCAGAATCTCCCTAGAGACAATTAGGATGAGTTTGACCACAGGTTGGATAGATGATGGATTGTGTGAGTAGAGATTAGACCATGTACCTTCTCTCCATCAGTTCCACCAGGACCACGTTCACCGACATCTCCGGGATGTCCATCAGGACCCTGTAAATCAAACACATACCATAAGTAGACTATAATACAGCAAAGTATATGTGCTCTAGTAGTTTTTATTTTGTATTTAGTGCCATACTCTGTCGCCTGGGTCTCCTTTGCAGCCTGGAGATCCGATCCGTCCAATTTTACCCTAAAAATAAGAACGCAAAGGACAACAATTGTATTACTCAAGAAAGCCAAGACACAAAACTGTACAATTTTCAGAAATTTTCAGAATAGATTTTTCCTAAACTGCATGAAAAAAGCTGTTCCTGAAAATTCTACCTTCTGCCCATCCGTTCCGTTGCGTCCTGGGATGCCAGCCACACCCTAATCATAGAAGGAGGACATAATTAGCAAGGAAAGACCAATCTTTGTCTTGTATTGATGATATTAAACATATTTGGTTGGGTAACAAAATATAAATAGGAAAAAAACACCTACCTTTTTCCCCTGAGTTCCCATCTCTCCCTGTGACCAGACAGAAGATCAACAGTCATTTGATGTACGATCAGTCAGCACTCAACCATTAAACATACAACCAGACTTTATTATCATTCATCCACAAACTGAATAGTGTTTTTCCAATCTATGAAAGAAGACATTTGGTTCCACAAGAAAGGATGCCTCACCTTCTCGCCTTTGAGACCTGGTTCTCCCTACAGAGAAGAGAGAAAGGAAATTCATCTATTATTAGAGATGGTGCTAAAACTTGTTGTACTGTAGTGGATGATGGGGCGGTGAAAGCATGTCTCCTTACTTTGATACCAGGCTGACCGATCGGACCCTCAATACCGGGGTCTCCTGGGCGACCTCTTTCTCCTTTCAGTCCTGGTTCGCCGTTGTCTCCTTTAGCTCCCTGCATACAACGAGATCAAAGGTGTGTGAGGATGAAGACAAGTGGTGTGTAAATGTTTGTGTGTCTGTGGAAAACTTACCTTCTGTCCTCTGTGGCCTTTTGGACCATGAGGCCCGGGTGTCTCCAGACAGGACACTTTGTAACACTGAGTTAAACAAGACAAAAAGAAAGAAAAGAGTCAGAGATGATACAGGAGAGCAGTAGATGACATTATATTCCTGCTCACGGGTTCTGTCTTACCTCTATATACGCCAAATGTTTCTGCGGAGACAAAAGAAACGAATCGTGAACCGAAGAGTCAACATCAGTGTTTCTGCTGCATAACTGTCTGTGTGAGTTCATGTGTTACCATTGTCTTGATGATGCGTTCAATAGTTTCTGTATGTATCGTGGCTCTGCCTTGGCTCAGATCCACAGCCATGAAGTCCCTCCTGTAGACGGTGGCTGGAGAGTTGGCGATCTCCCTCAAGCCTGTCTCCTCGATGTTAGTTGATGCCGCCACGACAAACATCCGGATGCCCTTGTCACGAGCTTCCTCTGCTGCCACCTTAATGCCACCACAAGGGTTTCCAGTCACGTGGCCGTCGGTGATGACCACAGCAAAGCGGAGGGCCGAGGGGTAGGAGGGCGAGCGCAGCATCTCGTCTGTCATGGCTTTGAGGGCACAGTCGATGTAGGTGCCTTTACCCAGATAACGGATTGGCCTGAGATTCTGGAAACGTGGACAAGTGTGAGATGTTGTCATGAAGGCTGGATTACAGACTGGGCGTTTTGTTACTTTGGAAGATTTTTGTTTGTACTTCCTGGTGAAGAGTTAATGGAGAAGATGAATATGCTCTCATGTGTCTTTATTTACTACAAAGCTCCAGGTAGAAGCAGGTTAGATTAGAATAGCATTTAACAAGACTATCAGAGGGAAACAGCAGCAAAATCAACCTACCAGAACCACTGAAGTTCATGATTTTTAATTTACAAAACAACCGCAATGCAAAAACAGCGGTTTGTCTTACTTTTTCAGGAGTTTTCTTTTTCTTGAGCTTCTTAAGCTAACAGCCAAGGATTAAATGTGGCGCATAACCTCCTGTAAAGCAGTTACTTGATGGTTTTACAGTTTTGCGTGATGATTGAGAAAAACAATTGCAGATTTGAAGGTACATGGCTTTTGTTCCTGCCTGACAGAGTGAGTCTGCCTGTTTCCCCTGATTTCAGGCTTTGTGCTAAGCTAGGCTAACTAGCTGTTGGCTCACATTTAATGTACAGATGAGAATCTTGTTGAACCTTCTGACAGAAAGACGGCAAAAATCTGGTCCTTTTGTTTAAAGGCGTTAGTGTTGACTGATTGAGGACCTTCTGTTAATTTTAACATGAGCAGCATAGTTTACTCGGGAGTTTTTAGTCACTGACGATTTTGGAAAGTAACTAAGTACATTTACTCAAGTACTGAGCATAAGCACAATCTTGAGTAACTTGTATTTTATGAGAGTATTTCCATTTTCTGCTATGTCATACTTGCACTCAATTGTGATTTAGTGGCAAATACTGCACTTTGTAATCAAAAAATTAATTAAAAAGTAATATTTTGGATTAAGATGACATGTATTGATCATGAGGGGAAATTCACAAACTACCCAGCAAACGAACTATATAAAGTAGGTAAAGCCACCTTTACCAGCTCCTGTGTTAAAGTGATGAACATATAAATAAATCCATAATTAAAATCCAATAATACATCATTCTCAAATATTCTCATTATGCAGAATGGTATATTTGATAAAAGTGTTTTATTCTCAGAATGCCATATTTCATAATAATGTGTTAAAGAATAATACCTAATTCTCTAATATGCCATTCTGCCTAAAGAGTAATTTTACGTTTTAACTTTGAGTATGTTTTGATTGTAATACTTTTGTGCTTTGACTTAGATTTAAATGCGTGACTTTTACTTGTAATAGAGTACTTCTACACTGTACTGCTGCTACTTTTGCTTCACTCATGCGTCACATATTTTCTTATCAAAGTTATCAAATACCTCTATTTAAGCACATAATCGCTAGTTTTATAAACTTCGCAGCCACTTTAAATCTTAACAAACTGCTTTCTGATGCGAGATGATGCGTCACTCACAGAGATGAAATCACTCTTGGATGCGAAGCGGCTGAAAACTTGTTGTGTCTGGGAAAAGTGCAGTCCACCGATATTCCAGTTGACCTTCACGACGCCCCTGAGTTCATCCTCCTCCAAACGCTGCACGAACTGCTCAGTGAATGTCTGCAACACCAAGACATAACACGTTATACAACATGGACTTTACAGCCAGAACGGTCGGCTGTCATGTAGAAAAGATCATCAGATGGGAGTATTTTATGTTGCAAGGTTAAAATAACAGAATTGCAAACAAATGAGGAACCTTGATGCTCTCCACCAGCGACCCAGGGGGCGACTCCTGCAGGGCGATGGTCTCAGACGTGTCGATGGTGAAGTACACGTCTATGGGACATAGGTTCTTCTCTGGAGGGAACACACACAAAACAGATTTAAATCAGTGTATTTTAATCAGTCATGCATTCCTTGTTGTGTCACTGAAACTGATGGCACTCACTGCTGCACTCCGACTTCTGTCCGTGAGTCAGGGCTCCGAAAAGAAGACTGAGCACGACGACCTCCAACCCCAACATCTTCCTCTTCTCCTGTCTGACACACAGACACAAGACACATCTGAGCCAAAACAGTTTCTTTTTCTCTAAAAATTAATGAAGCAAACCATTGACAAAATGTAAAAAAAAAAAAAGAAAGAACAGACTGAATGCAGAAAATATAAAGATAAATATGCAAAGATTTGAAAGCCTGAACAAACAACCAAGCATTATAAAAGCATTTTAAATGTCTAATTTCAAGCATTCCACTTGGTATATTATTTTTTGCAATGTTGTGATTCTCTGCCAAAAAAAATCCTCAAATTAACAAATTTCTTCGTCTAGATTCTGCACCTGGTATCAGTTTAAGAGTCCCACAAACAAATGTCTGACTATTACCCAGGGAACAAAATGGCTGCCACAGAGTTATGTAACAGGTTTGAAAGCATCTCATGAGCAGAACATGGCTCTTCTTTTTGTGTTGAAAGATGAAATGGAAACAACAGAAGCTAGAATAAATGAAAGATGACTAACATCTGCCCCATGATGGACAATTATTGCTGTAAACTGGACACAGACTTTGACATGTTGCCAAACTGCAGCCATAACATGCAGAGGTTCAGTGAGACCACTGAGATCTTCTACACATACAGACTCTGAAAAAAAAACCCTCCTTATTTGACCAAAGGAAAGTCCAAGATTAAAGCATGGAACCGATTATCTGAACATAGCATAACGCCTCCTGCTCAAGAGATGGAAAAAATGTAAAAAAAAAAAAAAAAGATTCCTGAGGATGAACAGACTCTGGCTCCATCTGGGGAGCAGATAGCTGGATGTTTATTCAACACAATCAGCTTCACATTTTCATTTCAGTGTCACAAGTTTAAAGCCCTTCATAGGATTTCCCTGCTCTCACATTAAACCTGAGCTGATTGGCTGCTATACCCAGGTGAGCCCATCAGGGGGCCCTGACACACTGACCATATGTGCTCCATGTACACGCCAACTAGACACATATGTGCAGGGCCCTGTGCATATTGCAAAACACATTAGCAGTTAATTGAATTAGTCCGTTGACATATATGAGGCCTTCGGGGGCTATTAAGGTCTGGGTCCCTGCAAAAGTTCCCACTTTTGGAAACAGTGTGGCTCCGCTGGCTGTGTGGGGACGGCCTCTGGAGGGCAGTAACAACATGAAAAATGCCAAAAGCTGGTCTTGTGTGCATCATAGCCATCACTCACAACTACTAAGTAACATTCGCTGCCAACCGATGCCCACGACAGCATGTTGAGTATTTACACTAAAAGAAATGCACCCTCTCAAGCAACAGAACTCTTCATCCTCTCCACAAACATAATTCTAGTGTAATTTCCGGTGCAAATTACATTCTCTACAACTAAATTATATTCTACCAGAGGAGCTCACGTTTGCAAAATTTAACGGATGAAAATTTGTAGCTCACTTCATTTCTAGGCCTCCTCTAATTTGTCTCTTTGAGTTTCAGCGCCACCCAACACTTGGTCAGCCACACGCTCTGCTGTGGCTCCCTCTAGCGGACAGACGGCTGTGACCTGCGGAGGAGTCGCTCCTCCAGAAATCCCCACTCCTCTCCCACTCCTCTCCCACCGTCCAGGCCAGGAGAGAGAGGGTGCAAGTCCTCCCAGCGCTTCATCATTGGGCCAGTGAACCATCATGCAAAATATACAGACACAACAGCCTCAAAGATAGAGTTTTATAATCTGTTTTTTTAAGCGAACACTTTGTTGGTTTTCAAAGAAGCTGTGTAGCCTGTCCAAAGTTTGGATTGGCTAAAAAAACGCCATCATTTCAGTTAATCGGAGGGAGTTTTCAGACAGAAAAAGCAGAAGGAGAGGAGAAACTGAGAGTCAGAAAGGCACATGCACGATGGCAAATGAGGGAAACTGACAAAAAGAGCTTGGCACGTTGTTGTGCGTAAAAGCGCAGCTTACCCGAACTCTTTACAACTTCAAAACTTCGTACGCAGCTGATCCTCTGTCGGTTATCTCCTCATCTCCACAGGACGGACAGCCGAGAAAGAAAAAAAAGGGGGGATACAGGAGGAGAAAGTGGGAAATAAAGCCCTGGATGCGCGTTTACTTCCCGCAGCAGAGCCGTCCGTTCGCCCTCCTGTCCCGGTCCAGCCCCAGCCACCAGCTCTGATCCCTCCTCCTTCTGCGCGCAACGACGCACCTCAGTGCGCGCTGCTGTCCGCTTGGAGGCGCCGTGGCTCCGCTGGAACCCGTGTGTGCGCGCGCGTGTCCGTGCACCCCTGACCTGTTGCACCGGTGTTAGTGCCATGCACCGGTGAAGGAGGATGCCAGAGAGGAGCTGGACTCTCCTCACACTGTAATGTCCGTTTGGCTTCAGGAGATGCGGCGCTCAGTGGAACACATGGCGCAGCCCTGAGGAGCTTTTCTGTCCCCGAGATACAGCATTTAGAAGGTATTCACACATAATCTCATACAGGTGGTGGGTCAGAATGAAATAGAACAGGATAAAGGGCAGACTTAACCCCCTCATACTCATAAACGCGCACACGCACATACGCACAAAACTCCCCTCTTTGTGTCTGGTGATCTGTTTGCAATTAGTAGGCCGAGCAAGAGGAGTTTATACCCGGTGTAAACACTGGCAGCCTGTCCATGAGTCTGTTCACCATGTTTATACGTTTGTAGGTGCTTCAGCCCCCCGTTTGCCTATTTGTATGTGTTTAAGTGCTTGTGCACATGGTGGGAGGTCTCCATACCATGTCAGTGCACATCTGCACAGAAACTTACATACTGTGAGTGTAAAGCCTGTTTTATTTCCTTTCATCAATGGGGATTAACAAAGGTGAAAGAAGTACTGAGATATTGCACCTACACCATTACAACAGTGTAAAAATACTCTGCTCAAGCAAAAGTCATGAATTTTAGTGTACAATTCAGTAAAAGTATGAAAGAGTTAGCAACAATATACACCAAATATTAAGTATGTATTGTGCAGAATGGCAAATTTCAGAATAAAGTATAGGACCATAGATGTTGTGTGTTCATCATTTTAATGTTGGAGCTACTTTGTGTGGTGTTTCTGCTGCTTGTGCATTTTCTCAATATCAATAAAGTTTTATCTTAAACATATTTTATTTGTTGATTCTATTTAGTTTTGGCTGCAAAGTAACTAAAATGACCACATAAATGGAAATAAGTGGATTAAAAAGTCATTATTCGGCTCTGGATTGTCGTGGAGTGAAAGTGTAAAGTAGCAAAAAATGGAAAAACACAATCTCATGCAAATGCAAGTAACTTAAATTTTCACCGTGCTTTCAGTTACTTTCCACCGCTGCTGATTGCACTATTTCAGATGTGGCCAGTGCAGTAAGTGAAACTGCCACTAATGTGTTGTGCAGCCCAGAACACAGGAGGCATGTCAGGAACAGACTCTTACATCCATTACATGATAAAACCTCACGCTGAAAAGTCTGAGAGGTCATTTGGCTCAACTAAGTGAGACAGATGCATCTATTTGGAAGCGATTTTTAAATGTCAACACAAAAATAGCTGCTTCTTACACTCATGGAAACAAAATGCAACTCGCAAGAACAACCCATGAAACAGTCTCTCGTGCTTTTTAATGTAACTATGTGAACGTATAACGGTTCTAGAGGTGGTTGGAGGTGAGACAGCAGTCAGCACTTTGCCAAGTGTGGAGATGAAACAAAACGCTGAGATAGAAAAGAGGATGAGGAGGAGAAAAAGTCCAGCTGCTGACCAGAGTTATTACTGTGCAGCGCTTCTCTCTGTCTTGGCCTGGGAAGAGTTTTTCCTTAAAAAGAGACGGAGAGAGGAGAGCGGAGCAATGTGTGTGTGCGTGTGATGGAGGGATGTGAAGATGGAGGGAGGAGGTGGGAGGTGGTGTGTTCTGGTCTCTCTTAAAACTGTGACTCATAGAATAGGAATGACCTTCCTCCCAAATAAGAGTAAACCAGCCTCTCTCTCTCTCTCTCTCTTTCTCTCTCCCTCTTTCTCTCCCTCTTTCTCACACACACTGTCTTTATTTTTTTTTTCTTTATTTCTCTCACATGGACTAAAAGAACCTTTCAGTCTGGGGGATTTCTGCATAACCAGCTCCAGAATTATAAACAGCTCGACGCCGCAAACATCGCTGCTACTTTTTTTTTTTCTCTCACTGTTCCACAGAAAAGGCACAAAGAGTGACTAAATTTGTTTCATATGCAAACATGCACAAAGACACAGACATGAAAAGAAACGATGGAAAAAAACAAATTGAAAAATGAATGCACAAATCTATAGATTCTAACAGCAGATTTAAGCTATTTGTAGGTACACAAAGTAAAAAAATCTAAAGTTTATTTTTCTTTTTTCACAGCGCTCTCCTAATCTCTCTGACAGTCTGTGTATGTATGACAGTGATGCACTTCTACAAGATGTTCTCCAGTGAAGCTCTTGAACCTGAAAAGCTTTATTTAAAGACCAGGATATTACATTTAAACATTGGATAAGCTAACATTTACCCCCTTTATTTGCTTCTTTTCGCAATCTTTCTCCTTCTTTTCTCCAGATGTGCTTTCTGTTCAGACAAGGCAGCTGGGAGTCGTTACCTCAGTACATCACACACACACAGACGACTGTGCACACATAGTGCAAATTTACGGTCAAGTCCATGTGTAAAACTTATGTCATTACCAGTGAATTTCATTGGAAGAAGTTTGCGCCGAGGTCTGAGAGTAAGATGGCGAAGAGGTCCAATCGCTTCAGAAAACAGGAGGAAAGAGGAAATTGCAGAAAATCTGCAAAAGAGCCAAGACAAATCTGAACACTCACCCAAACACACACACACAGCCACATGCACACAAATCACACACATATCCATGCAGTAAATCATGCACAGAAACATGCATCAGCGTGCGAACGGGCACACCCATGCACATGTGCACACACAAACAAACACACATGCAGGGGCTCCGTGGAACGATCTGATAAGTGCAGTTTTGGCTCCAGAACTTTAAGAATGACTTTGACACAGGAAGAGATGTATCAAACAGTGCGGACACACACAAATACACACAGTCGAGATCAAAACGGTGGCTCAAAAATCAGGATCACAGAGGAAAAAAAACAGCTGGTCGAGTCACTAAAACTGAGGCAGTTCCACAGAAATTCTGCTGCAGTCTGTGTGAAGATTTAATATGAAACATGTGTCTCTTATTGAGCAACGGAAAGGAAAAGAATTTAACATTTGACCGTGTATGTTTTCCCGTATACGTGGTAAGGAGTAAAAAGTTGTTTGTAGTACTGCACTGTTCATCTCTGCAGAAGGAATTCCTGCTTCTCCTATCTTGTTCTTCAACAAGGTCAGAGGTCAGGCTCAGCTGGTTGCTCAAGGGCACTTCTACAGGCAGGTACTTGCTGCCTGTGTGGGTCTGACTTGGGACTGGAGACAACACTGTTGGTCTGCTGTGTTTAGTTAGACCCCTTCCAGTGAAAATCCAGATTTTACCTTGTTAACATGTCCATTTGGAGTTTTTTATATGCTGGAAGATATATTATGAGCGAAATAAGCAGTCAAAGCATGACTGATTTTTTCCACGTGGACACTGCAATGTACCAACGGTAGTCTTAAAAACACGGATTCAGACTTTAAGGGCTTCATATGTAACAATTCTGTCAATTTACAGTGTGGGGATTTCTGTATTCTATCGATTTCCAGTGTTTAAATACATCTGGCTCAGTTACTCCAATCATCAGTTCATCATCAATCAGTTTTACAGTGTTCAAGCAGACTTGTAGGTGAGCTGGTGTGCTCAGCTGCAGTGGGTGGGGATGAGTTTGTGGAGGAGAGTCAAAGTGTCTCAGAAGAATTTAACCCTCTTGAAAGTTTTCCCCTGCTACTGCTTTTCAACACTGAATTGGAGCCAATATAGCTTGGCTTTTATGACAAGAATTTCTGAAAAGACTTTAATATCAAAGTGAAAACAGATTTTTACAAACACCAATTAAATAAAAAACATAACATAAATATAATTTGTAAAGTAAGTGATCACACATGTATTCACCCCATTAGATATATACTATAGACTATACACTTAGTCTTTGGCCACATTACAGCATCGAGCCTGTTTTCGTGCACATCTGGACGCTGCAGTTTTACCCCATTCTTCCTTGCAGTACTGTCAGGTTACACAGGGACCATGAGTGAACAGCCTTTTTCAAGTCTAGCCACAAATTCTCAGCTGGGCTGAGGTCTGAGCTCTGACTCGGCCACTCCAGAACATTCACCTTATTGTCTTTAAACCATTTTTGTATAGTTTGGAATTACTGTCTTGCCGGAAAACAAAACGTCTCATAAGTTGTAGTTCTCTTGCAGTTAGATCGTTTTCCAGGATTTCCCAATATGTTGCTGCATTTATTGTAGCCTTCACCTTTACAAACCTTCTAGGGCCCACATTATGATGCTGCCACCACCGTGCTTCACAGTGGGGATAGGGTGTTTTTGATGATGTGCAGGGTTTGGCGTCTGCCAAACATAGTGTTCAGTCTGATGGCCAAAAAGCTTAATTTTTGGCTCAAATCAAAGAACCGTCGCCCAAATATTTTCTTGTGAACTGGAGTCAAGGTTTAGCTTTAGCCACTTGTTTGATTCGCTTCCATAAAACTTTCACTATCTCAGCCACAGAAGCTTGTAACTCCTTGAGGAGTCATAGGTGTCTTGGTTGCCTCCCTCACTCGTCTCTTTCTTGCACAGTCACTCAGCTTTTAAGGACCACCTGCTCCAGTCAGATTGATGTAGTTATATCCAGAAGCACTGATTCAACAGTGACTGGACCTTCCAGATACATGTGTGCTTATACTACAATCATTTAAGACATGTTCACTGCATCCAAATGATCTCCATTGCACTAGTTTTGTGCCTTCTTGCACTCAATGGCTGCACCTGTGTTGAATTAGGTAAGTCACTTTAAAGGGGGCGAACACTTGTGCAATAATTTATTTTACGTTTTATATTTCACCTGTTTCCATTTTGACATGAAGGACTTTGTTTTTGTAAATTCTTGTTTAAAAAAAAAAAAAGAAAAAAAAAGAATCCAAATTAAACTGACCGATGATGATTTAAAGTTGAAAAGCAATAAAAAGGAGAGACTTCCAAGGAAGATGAGGACTTTTTACAGGCACTGTAGCTTTGAAACATGAGACGAGTTTTTAGGGTTTTAATCAACAACAGGAGAAGGAAGTTAAACAAAAAGCAGCTTCTTTTCAAACTTGAGTCTTATGGTAATATTTTGTGCATCTTTGCTTGTGTGTATTATAACATGATGACATAAATTAACAGTCTGGTAATTAACGGTGTACAACAGGATATAAAAACACCCCTGACTCTTGCCATAATACCTGTCCAAACCACTGTTTTGTTGGACCAACTAAAAATGGGAGTACTTCTTTCACTCGCAAACGTGGAAGAAGTACTCAGATCATGAAGTAAAGTAAAAGATAAGTAAAAGTACCAATACTAAGGGGTAGAAATGTTCCAATTGTTCCAAGTAAAAGTCATGCATCAAAATGTACCAAAGTACCAAAAGTAAATGGCAGAGTGGAAACCTGAAGTAGCACAAAATGGAAATAGACATGTAAAGTATATCAAAATTATACTTAAGTACAAAAAAAGTGAGTGAATAAACACAATTAGTTATTTTCCACCTCTGGTCATTGCATGAAACAAGTCCAATAGAGAGACAGTTAGCAGCTCTGTGAGGCTGCACTGAGCTAAATGCTAATGTTAGCATGCTAATGTGACCACGATGGCTGCTATTCCGACAGCCTCGCTGCTAGCATGGTGAACAAATATGCACACAAACACAGAAAACTAATTTTGCTTCCATTTTTTCTATTTGAATCCATTGTACTGCATCACGGTTTAGCAATGAAGCTGGTGATATTAATAATTCAGACTGAGGACATAGAAATAACATAACAGTACAGTAGGACTAGTGTTTGTGGTTCAAAGCTGTTTTAAGCTAAAGGCTAAGCTGCCCCACAGCTGTTGTAGCTTGTGATGTTGTTTTCAATGTCATTTTTCCTGGCAAACACTCAAGATATCTATAATTATATTTTGACCAGGCAGAAGTCCAAGTCATGATGGTATTCTGACCAGTTAAAACTTTAAGTATCTGAAAAGGACAATGTAGGTATACTGAGGATAGGGGAATTAAAAATATCTGGAACTAGAACGATGACAGGTCAGAATTCAGCTGTGTATATCTGAAACTGGAATTACATGTCGTCATAATGCGGCGACCTGCAGCTGAATCACAGATATCCATAATGACAACTTCAACTTGGCAACAGTGGCGTCATTTGTGGATTTCTGAAATGCTCTTTTTGACTTGGAAGAATAGAATACCAGTCCAGCTATTCAGCGTTTCAAATGGCTCGCCACAGTGACTCTCTTTTCAAACATATTTTGGCACTGCAACCGTGATTGTATATAGGAAAGAGTTTTATTGCTGGGTCAGAAATGTCCACCACAAGTCTGTCATGAATGAAACCCTTGTTCTCCACGAAACTTCTTGATCTTTCATTTTCATGTCATTTTCTGATTACATTATGTTCAAACGCTTTGTGGAAGCAAACAACAGGGAAGCCTCACATGAGCAGCATCACCCACAATAATTCAGACTAGTTGTATTGTTGTTTGTCTGTCTGAGATATTTGCAATGATTATTTTGACTGTTTAAAACTGAAATACAGATATTTCAAACTGGAGTTTCAACTAGTTGGAATACTGTTATAGATATTCTGAATAAAAATTGTGACCAATCACAGTGTAATTAGACAAAATGAGGTTGGTTGTGTCAATCCATCCATCATCTACACACTGCTTAGTCCTCACTAGGGTCATGGGGGGTTGGAGTCTATCCCAGCTGACTCAGGGTGACGGCAGGGGACACCTGGACAGGTCGAGGTTGGTAATGTCTGTTATTTTGTTTCTGGATTGTCAAACTCAGCAATTAGGCCTAAATGTTAAAATGGTTTGGCGTATGTCAATGTGAGCAGGGACAGTGGGAAATTGCTGACATTTACCATTTTTACTCGTGTTAGCAAATGTTAGCATGCTTACATATTAACATCTGCATTACTGATATTCTGGGTTATTTTATGGATTGTACAGGATAGGGCTTCAGCCTATTCCTTTTTTTGGTTACATCCATCCATTATCTATACACCACTTAATCCTCACTAGGGTCATGGGGGGATGGAGTCTATCCCAGCTGACTCAGGGTGAAGGCAGGTTTACCTGAACAGGTAACCAGTCTATCACAGGGCTACACTTACAGACAGACAACCAAGCACACTCACATTCACACCTACGGACAATTTAGAATCACCAGTTAACCTCAACATTTTTTTGGACTGTGTGGGAGGAAGCCGGAGAACCCGGAGAGAACCCACGCTGCACGGGGAGAACGTGCAAACTCCACGCAGAAAGATCTGAGGCGTCCCTTTTTCAGTTACAGAGCTTGTTAAATTTTTTTGTGAGGAAGAAATGTTTACTGCAAGCATATATAATAATGCTTTATCAGCTGAATGCAAACAATTACATTTTTGTACTCTAGATTGTAACCAAAATAAACCATTCATCTATTCATTCATTCATGCTAATTTGCACAAAATAAGACCCAGTTGGTCAGAGGTAATCTGACTGAACGTCAACTATCAGATTGGATCAAATCTTTAAAATGGGTCGTTCAAAGGAAAACTAGAATTAAATCTTATAATCCAGTCTCGATTCTGAACTGAATCAAACCTTAAGTAAATGATGTTCCAGACTTTTTAGGATTTGGATACCTGTGATTCACTAAAAAAAATCTGGATTAACTTAAACCTAGCAAGAGGCTGGATGAATTTGAGCAAATGCAAAAAACTAAATACAACATTTGTATCATGTAATATACACTTGTGCATATTTTGAACTTGATTTGTTTGACCATAGCAGTGATAAAGTAGATACTAGGCTTCCTGTTAAGCCTTTCAGTAGGGGGGGGGGGGTGAAAAAATTAATCCACATAAAATGATCCCTAACAGGCTGCCAACATCAAACAACAGCACTGTATTTATTTTAACTGTCATTCATAAGTGTATATTAGCTACGGTGATGCAATCGTGATAATGATGTCATGGTGCCTTGTAAAAGCAGAGCGTCAAGAACTACTATTCAGCAATTCAACATTTGGCAACGAAATATTCACAGCGTATTTGTGAATAATGTGTTCTTGTTCGAGCTTGTGTATTTATTTGTTTGGCATCAGTTGAGGGTCTTATTGATGACAGAAATTCAAAATTGTAGGAGGGCATTTACGTTGTGCTGTTGTCTATCTATTCAAGATGTCTGTGAAGATTCTCAGTCATCCAGGTCATCGTTATTCTCATAGTTTAATGGTAGCAACTGGACTTGCTTGAGTTCCTTGAAGACGTTTCACCTCTCATCCAAGAGGCTTCATCAGTTCTGGCTGACTAGTTGGGAGTTCCAGATACTTAGAACCTTAAGGAGCCATTAACACCTGAGTTCAGGTGTTAATGTAATTCAGTGTTGTTAACTCCAAACTAGTCAGTCAGAACTGATGAAGCCTCTTGGATGAGAGGGGAAACGTCTTCAAAGTCCAGTTGCTACCATTAATCTATGAGAATCTATCTATTCAACTAAAAACTGTTCAACCTGTTGTTCCTTACACAGTTAGTATCCTTCCCTGTGATCTGGAGTCCCATTTAAAGCACTGGTATTCCAGATTAGGTAATCTTGAAAAGTTTGAATCTGGATCAGGATGATGTAATCCAATGGTAGTAAGCAAACTGGATTACCTCATCTTGAATATCAAAACATAGGATTTCTAAACTTTTTTTTAACATTTTTTTTTCAACCATTAAACCTAAAGTTTGGCCCAATGGTGCTACTGGGATAAAATCCCACAATGTTTCTAGGTTTGTTCCAGTCTTTAAATCTCCATCTTTTTGCGTCAAAGGAAGCTTTTCAGAGGAACATTTCTTCACAAACATAAAACGTGAATACAATTTTGTGACCTGCACATTGTAGAAGTCTGTGTGTGCGCTGACAGAAGTGAGCCGAGACACTTTGGTGTAGCAACCTTTATTGAAGGAGCTCTTACAAAACTACTGAGGCTGCTTCCTCAGGTAAAAATATCTTCTTTAACATCACTGGCAGAGGCTGATACACTGAGACTAATAGCACCACAGATAATCACGACAGTCCAGTAACTCTGAGCCACCAAACAAAAAGTGTGGAACTTACAGTTGTAGGGACCTAAAAGGTGTGTGTGTTTTTCTGTGTGTGTGTGTGTGTGTGGGTGTGAGGGCGATCACGAGCCCCATTAGGTTTCTTTTCCAGCCTTCAACCGTGACAGATGTTTTCCTACCTCACTGATGAAGTGCAAAGGCATGTGTGTGTACGTGTGTGTGTGTGTGTGTGCGTTCGACTGAGGCTTCTCTGCCTCACGGACAATAAAGAACAGGTTTCTGTCATTCTGTTATTCTGGATTTGAACCGGTGACCTCGGCACAACTGTTTATGAAACAGTCGCTCAAGGCTACACGTAAAAATCCGCACACGTACATGTAAATGATATACCCACGGAGGGCCCCACACACACACACAAAATCACACATGTTGAGTCCAGCTGTCGCGTCCTCATTAGTACCAGGTGAAAAACTGATGGGTTCTCTTTGAAAGTCTGCCTGATATCACTTCCTGCTTTGGTGATCTAATAGAGCTTTCAAGTGATGTCGGGTGCCAGTTATCTTCAGGTCAGGAACATGTTATCACTTACCCGATTAAGTTTCACAACGTATATTTTATGGGGGCAAAACTTCCAAAAAAAATAAGTTGGAGGCTAATTAAGAAAGAGTCAGCCCTGCGGGTCAATTAAGCGCTGCAAGAAATCACCAATTAAAGCATATGTTTTCAGTTCACAGCTGTGGTTCACATTATCGTGACACAACGCATCCGACACCACTTGAAAGAACGGTAAGAGCTGCAAAAATGAGTCCGCGTTAGACTCTAAACAGAATCCTTCAAACAGCAGGAACTCCGGTCCTGGAGAGATAAGAAAGTGCAGCCTCACTGGTTGGTTGAAGTAAAGCTGAGAGTGATCCAGGGAATACCTGAGTAGAAATCAGCTCAATGCAGATAAAAGCCAGAAACAGGTGTTGATATGATTGTTACTGATGGCTCTCCAGGACCGAAGTGACCCGTGCTGATTGAGACTTTTCTACTTGAACCTTACCTCCAAGGCAGCAAGGTCACACAAGCTCTAAACTTTGGGTCAGCATCGTATTATAAGGTCACACACAGCCTGAGATGGTCTGCCTTGGAGGATGAACTCAGGGTAAAAAAGTTTCTGGACATTTCATGAAAAATATTTACATTTGTCTGCCACACATTCATTTGTGACATTTCTCTTTGAACACAGTGTATGGTAAATGAGTGAGACTGAATATTCATAATGGGACTAAAAATCTAAAGCGTGTGGTTCTTGGCCCTGCTTTCAGGGCATGGAAACCCTGCGGGAGACGGTTTGGTGGAAGACGCCGCGCAGCAATGAGGGGTAGTCTGGGACCCGGAACATGTGGCGCTGAGCGTAGCTGATGTCGTCTTGCCGCCCCCTGCTCACCAGCATGCGCAGGTTGGCTTCGTTGACCTGGTTGCCGGCGGAGATGACGAACAGCTCGACGCCGCCGTCCGCCACCTCCCGGACTCGCTTCTCCAGGACGGGCTCGGTGACGCTCTGAGACCTGCCGTCGGAGAACAGCACCAGCTTCCTCTTGCCTCCCGATGCGTCTCCACGGCCGCGTAAACTCCTCATGGCAAACTCCATGGCTTCCAGCACGTTGGTGCCGTCATTTTGGAAGGCTGCGTCGTCGATGCCCTTAGACAGCAGGGTCAGATTGGTGGTCAGCGGCTGCTCCATGCGGGCGTTCCGGCTGTACTGGGCCACACCAACTCTGACAGTGGCGCCTCTCTTCCTCTCGGCGCCCAGGAAACGCTCGGCCAAGCGCTTGACAAACATCTTGCTTGTTTCGAAATTCTTCTGGCCCACGCTGGCTGAGCTGTCCATCATCACTAAGATATCCGCACTTTCACCAAAAGTGACTGCAAAGAAAGCAACAAACACAGTCCATCTGATCATAGGCTCTCTGCAATGGATCTGCGGTAAAATGAAACACAGCTGGAGAAGCATCTATACATTCATTTAACTAACGGACAGAATGTGACAGGATTACACCAAATGTATAGATGACAAACTGTCTCACCAGCAGAAAAATGACAGTGAATTTTAGAAAGAACAAATCACAAATGAAAGAACAGATTGAAAAAGCACAACAGACTTACTGGGACACTTGTAGTCTGGGCATCTCTTCTCTAGATGAGAAACAACAGACAAGTCAGTTTATCCAGAGTTCACCTCATGAGCTAACCAACACCGTTCAAGTGCATTTATGTGGAGGCGCGTTGTACCTTGACAGATTTTGCCTGTAAGGTTCTGAAGGAAGTTGTCCTCCAGCAGCTCAGCAAAGTTGTCGAGGACGAAGGAGAAGCCTGGTTTGGGGTCACTCTTGCAGACCACGGCTTCCAGCTGCTCCTGGTTGGGCTGTCGGCCGGAGTAGTCCTTCACTCCCAAACCTCCAACCTGCAGACAAAGCGAGAGATTTTGAAGTTAGTCAAAAGGAAGGTGCGGTACGATCATACGTGGTGTCTGTCCACGTGTGCTGGACTCACCTGCAGGTCTTTACCGCAGAGCACGTTGAGGGGAACCTTGTCCCTGCTGATATCGGAGCGTCCGTCGGTGAGAACGAGGACGACTTTGTTCTCTTTCCTCATTTCGCTGATTGTGTTGGTCAGAGCAAAATCAAGAGCTTCTCCTGTGTAAGTGGCCTCAGCCAGCCAGCGCAGGTCTCTCACTGCCCTGCAAGAGCACACACATTCAATGGTATCAGAATTAAAATGCTTTTTAAGAGGAGTAATGACATTTAAAGAAACACAACATGTGCAATTTGAAAATAGAAGTCCTCCATCTGGGTGTTAGCTGCACTGATTATGTTTGAAAACTTTTTTATTCTTTAAGTGCTGAACAGATATTTTTAATACCAAATGGAAGAAGGTGGAGAAGTCCAGCTGTTTCCATTATTTAGGCCCATTTTTACAGACTTGAAAATCCTAGCATGGAAATATATCATTTTGTGTCTGGTTTGTATTATTTTGCACGATTTAAAAAATTAATCTGTAGTTTTTATATCAGTTTACAAACAAATGTGATATAAATGTGGTAATTAATTAGCTTTAGCAGTGTCAGAAAGGCACTGCTGAACTCTGAAGTGACCTGCACTAGCGGCTGTATTATCCCGCCAATCTTTATGCTAGGCTAAGCTAGGCTAAGCTAAGCTAAGCTAAGCTAAGCTAAGCTACGTACCTCCTGACTTTGGAGTCTTTTTATTTCAACTTTAGAAAAAGGAAAAACGCATATTTTAAAATGATTACTAATTGATAAATATGCTGCATTTAGAAGTTTTAAATATGTTGGAAAACACTTTTGCTTTGGAACAATTTATGCTGAACAAAAATATAGACGCAGCATATATATCATATTAAATTCTATCTAATCTTTCTCACACAGGGGAATACATTTTTGTCAACACAATGGACAACCAAGTACGCACTATATCGGAAAGGACCAGTAGACTAGTAATCACAAGTCAGTAACAACTCACAAATCTAGTGACAAGTCATAAACCTCTAACATACAGAGTTAATGAGGTTGGCGAAGGTTGGCGAAGCTGCTTGTGGAATGTTGTCCTGCTCTTTCTGAAGGACTGGGTGAAGCTGATTGACATTTTCAGGGACTAGATCACTTTGTTGGACATCCAGAGCTGTCTGAAAGGGTTTCTTAGACGACAAATGGTGGAGTTGTGGACATTAGAGCGGCTGACTACATGCCAACACCTCGTTTTTGTCTTTTTTTGTTTGTCATCTGTGGCATCTGTTTTATTTGAATAAAGCTGCATTTTAAGGTGGCCTTTTATGGTCACTAGTCAGAGGAGTGTCTGTGTACTGGCCACGCTATTTGACCATTGTCCTTTAAAGCCACATCTGACCAGGGTGTGGATTAATTCACTGGTTGAGAATGACAAAGCATTAAGGCATGTGTGTGAACTCACTGTTTAAAATCGGTGAGGTTAGTGGTCAGTTTGACAACTTCTTGGGCTCGTGCTCCACTGTACTGGACGACGCTCACGGTGGACTGGTTCGTTGAAAACTGGAAAGAAAAACATCGCATGGTGACTGTGTGTTTTGGTCTGTGTGTGTGTGTGTCATGTCTACAAGCATGCGTTTTCCTCTGTCAACATTTCTGCGTCCCACCCATCCTGACTAATTACATCCAAACTGGAAGAGGAGAGTCATTGGAGAGACATAAAAAGCACGCTCCAAACCCCAAGACAATATCTTTCATTCACACTTTCTATTTTGAGGTCTTTTCTCAAGGCAAAGAATTTTGCAACATCTCTGGAAAACACTTTTAGCGCCGTTCTTGGTGTAATTTTGAATAAACAACACAATCCACAAAGGTCAGACATCTGTCATCCAACAGAGGGTTACACAAAGGTGGATGAATATGAAACACAATGTTGTCAGATGTCAGACTCCAGGATGAGACGCTACCTTGACTTGCTGGTCTTTGATCAGTCTGTCAATGACTGCGATGATGAAGTCTTTGGCAAGAGCAAAGTTTGTGGCACCGATACTCTCTGAGCTGTCCACAATGAAGGACAGGTCCACAGGTGCACACTTACACTCTGAAGACACAGACGAAAACACACACATGATCAGATTCACGAAGACTAAACGTCGTGGGTGCCAAAGGGTGTGGAGAAAATAAAACAATACGACTTGAAACTTACCACAGCAAGCTGGGAAGCGATTCGGAGGAGTTGAAAAAGGGGGATTAAAAAACACAAAAATCAAAGTTAATCAACTTTGGAGAAACAATGCAGCACAACATAAGCTGCACAACCTGCTTCAGTTTTGTAATTACATATTTGGCTACGCAGGCGGCGAGGTGAAAAGGGCAAAGTGTTTAAAGCGCATGTGGCTTGATTACTGCGAGTGTATGTTTGAGCGCACAAGAAAAAACTTACAGCAGAGCTTCATGATTATATCCAGAATTTCACATTCCTGAAGAGAGAGGTGGAGGATACGTTACATGTGCTACATCACATTACATAACAGTCAAACACAACACACGACCGGGGCCTCGAGCGTTTCAAGCTGCTCCAAAAGAGAAAGAAAACATGACAACGGGGATATTTCACTTAGAAGTCGGTGAACGGCCATAGGTTCCTGTGTTCAGGAAATTGGATGTGCGTCTTTGGACTGAATCTCCTCTATCAGGTTCAGATACAATACTGGAGCAGCCTCAAGAGGGAATTAACACCGTGGGGCTTCACCGTCTGGTTCAGCGGCTAAACTGAGGCCGAGGGTTCAGATTAAATGGACTGATTTGATTGTTTTATACTCACATCAGTTCCTGGTGGTCCAGGAGGCCCAGGAGGTCCCTAAAGAGAGAAAGAAAGAGAAGATAGGCAGCCTGAGTGAATCATGCCGTGATAGACGTCTGTTTAAAGAAACTGTCCAAAAATGTATCTGGTCTGACTTCAAGATGACAGAGCAAGTCACGGAGGAGTCTTTGTATTTTAACTGGAATTAAAAAATGGGGGTTTCTTTGGAAAACCATTCCTCCTTTTGACTTCTGACCAGATTCCCACCATAACTGAACCCACATCCACACCCACACATTTGTGCTCGCCGCTATCATTCTGCAACAACATGTGAATCCTCCAACAGCTCACTGCCGCAGCATTTTGTTTTTTCTCTCAGCTGCAGGAAAACCATCTGTTTTGTTTTAGCCGACATTAAACTTTAAAAGTTTAAGAGCATTCTTTGCTGCGACAAAGACGCCAACGTAGCTCGAATGTGCGGACACGAGCAAACACACACATTAGAGAGAGAAAGACCGAGAAAGAGAGAGAGAGAGAGAGAGACAGCCGTTAATTGTAGAGGACAGAAATTGTCCCGAGAACACATGACGCAAACTCTTCATACCAAAATATGCAGGAGAAGACACGAGCCAGAGGAGAGGACGAGTGGAAATGAAGGAGGAGAAACATACAGCAAGGAAAGTGTGAAAGAGTCGAGCTCGGACTGACGGTTTGTCACAAAACATGCACACAGCGTTATATTTAGATCGCGCTTTACGCATTTTTTTCACGTGATCCGACACCACAACCTTTACCCACCAGTTGGCAAAAAGGATGGAGAACTTCCCATCATTCCAGCATACAGAGACTCAGAGATGCCACTTATGTAGTTCTTCAGCATGTGGTTTGGTGTTACGTTGAGCTGTGAGATTAGCTAAAGTAAACTCAGTTACTGCATGTTTACAGGATCAACAGAAACCTCTGCTGGGGAAATACGAAGCACGGTTTCTTAAAAGGTCTGGTGATTCTGTATTTCTGCTTCGGTCAAATCCCAAGAAAAGACCAACAATGACTGATGCTATTAGCAAGTTTTAAAGCCCCTCTTATACAGCCATCAGCCGATACAACACTGATATGCTATTGGCTTACACATAGTCTGATATGTAGAATTTATTATTATTATTTTTATTTTTTTTACACAACATAGTGTATAAAAATGCTTGCAACAATGTAGAAATGGTTTCATCACAGTCTATTCAATAGAGCAGCTTTGACTCGTGTTTAAAATGCTCTCTGCACTGTCTGCAGCACATGTAGCAGAGTACGTATAACAGCTAAGCTAAGCAATGGTGCGGAGTCAACGGGTGTCTTTATGGTAACTTATTGACTAGTTTGTGAAATGCATCGCTGGGAAGTTATAAAAAAATTACACCATAATTTTCCCTTTTTAGTGTAAATTTACCATTTAACACACATTGTGGATATAAATAAAAAATACCTGCAGATGTATTGATATCTGAATTATTTACTTTGGAAAAATTGTAATCGACATCGATCACAAAACATCCCTCTTTATTAAAATAGAAAGAGGTCCTATACTTAAAAAAAAAATAAAAAATGTGATTGTCATGCTGCTGTAAATACTCAGCAAATACGTATTCATCCACGAGTGAAAATAGTTCCTAACAAGTACCCCGTTTTCTCCTGTTTGAGTGACATCTGCTAAAAGCCACAGTGACCAGGTGTTTTAAGACATTGTAGGGTTTTTTTCAAATTCAGCTACATCTTTGTGAAGATTTATGTCTTCCGTGGTAACACACTATCTCGGACCTGAGCGCCACAGGCAGTGAGGAGTCAGAAGGATGGGAACTATTGAGGGATGGTCCAAAACAGAGCTGCTTGTGGTGTTTTCATTAGACTTGTTTAAAACAGAAACACAGAACTTCATAACCCTGCTGTCGTTAGCTGTTTCTGCTCCTCTGGCAGTGTACGACTGTAAAATTGGTGTAATAATTAAAATGTAATCGTAGTTTATAAGCCACTTTCCACTGTAGGTGTTAATGGAAAAAAAGAAGCCCAGATGTTGTTTTTGAGAAAAGGCTCTGCTCTGGATGTGGATGTGTTGACAGCAGTGGCTCTAATGTCTCAATTAGCACTGACATGCAGACAAACACAACAACACAATCATCTTCATGCTCAGACTTGGTGGCGTTCTTACCGGTCGGCCCTCAGGTCCTCTGTGACCTTTGGCTCCTTTAGCTCCTGGCTGTCCTGGTTCGTTGTTCTGTGAAAAGAGAAAAGAAACAGAGATGAAGAGGAAAGTCAGGACCTGTTTTCAAACAACAGGATGAAAACACATGTCTAACTACACACTGAGCTGCAGTGCTTTATATAGTATCTGTGATGAATGTGTTCTGCCAAACAGCAGCCACAGTCTGCACTAATGAGCTGACAGAACTGCCTTCTGTAGATGTGTTTAACAAATTGGAAAAGCTTCCCATGTCTGTAGGGGACAGATTTGTAGCACACACATGTGCTGCGTCTCATCTTTAGGATCATGTAAGTCGAACATGTTGCATCCAGGGAGCCACTAAAGTCTTTTTTTACTGACAGTGGAGGCCATAATCAGACTGAACCACAAATAAATTAGGGTGTGTGCTCATTAGTTTGTTTTAAATATGGCCCTGTGCTTTACTGCTGCACTAAATATTACATTAATAAACTTTCACAGAGAGCATTTGAGCAGATCATGAAAGTGTAGCACGGCAGGAGAAGCTTTGCTTATTAATATTTGGGTGCAAATAAACATGAAACAAAGGCGTTCTTCCAAATACATAAAGATCAACTTGTCTCCTGATTTCAGACAAACTGAAATCCACTGAAATTAAAATTAAATTAATGTTTTGTTCTGTCGCATCAGCAAAAAAAAAAAAGAACATTTACATCAAATTTGTGGAAGGTGTTACCAAATAAGGGCATGTATAGCACAGTGGGATAAGTAATGGGTTTTTCAGAAGCTCCCACACAAAAGAATCTGACAATTTGTTTTCCTAAGTGTTTTTATAGGCAGTATATCAACAGAATAAGTGATCCTAACGGTAGAGAGGCTATTTGTTTTTGCCTAACTACATTTGTTTGGCTGCCGTACCAGCTACTCTGCAGATTAAAATGGGACTTCTGTTTTTTTTTCTTCCCTTTCAGCTGGTTCAAAAGCCTGCACTCCATAACAAAACATTTTCATTCTATCCAGTCATTGTCATTGTGAAACCTCTAAATCCATCTCAAATGTTAACTGAGGCCATGTCTGGCTCTGACTGGACGCCCATCAGTCACACCAGTGCAGCTGCAGGAGGAGAAAACAGCCGAAAACCCTGCAGCTGCTGCACTCCGACGGCTCACGGCTGATCGGCTGTGAGATTACCGCCTGGTCTGCAGGAGTGTGGAGAATAAAGAGCTTAACACTGTAAATCAATTTAGGAAAATTATCCCATCTTTAAATTTCATGTTCCCACAGACGCTTTAAAGAAACGTGGGCAATTTGGTTGGAGGAGGAATGCCGGCAGCTGCAGGGAATTTCACATTGATGGAAATTTGCAAATTAGGCGCAGATATCACATTGAATGATGATGTGCTTCAGAAATGGCTCGCAAACACATGTGCAGATTCAAGAATACCAACTGTTTTAAAGCGGGTGTTTACTTCTTTTTTGCAGCGTTTAACACTTTGATAACCCTTTATGGGGCAAGTGACCATATTTGGTAACTTCCTTGGACGTTCAATACGTGTGCCTCTCCTCAAGGTTGAAGAACCACTTTGAATTAGTTGTTATATTAGCACCAATATCACTTAAAGGTCACTAAACAAGTGTTCCAGGCACTTTATAAACACTTTGTTACTGGTTTGCATTGAACTCCACTTTGATTTATTTTTTGAGATTTGTGCCATTAATACCACAACTCCAAGAACAGTGTGACTAAATTATAAGCCTGCCAAGTACTTTATAAATGCTTTGTTACTGGTTGTATATGTATCATTACCTCAAACTAAAATGCTTGTTGCGGTTTCTTTTATTTATTATAAATTCCCTTTTTTTAAACCCTAGACGGGCAAGTTACCATACATGGTAGTGTGTGGACACCGGGGATGCATATTACTTAATTATTGTTATTTTCTTGTGCTTTCTAGATTTTTGGATGCTGCTGTAGCGTGTAAATGTATCCCAATGAGGGATCAATAAAGTATTATTCTATTCTATTCTATTCTATTCTACTTTATTAATCTTGATTTGCAACATTTTTTTAAGTCACAAAAGTAAAAATATGTTGAAATATCCTTCAATAACACCCTGGGGTTTTCATTTTCCAAATATGTCAAGGAGTGCCCTATAAAGGGTTAAAATGCTGATTTTGGATATTTACTCCTCATAAAAAACAACTTTTAGTGTAGCAGAAGCGTCATTTACTGTGTTAAAGGTAATTAAAAGAAAAACTTGAGTAGTTCCTCTCTGTTCTAAGCACATTGTGATTGGTAGCCACAGTGCATTGTGGGCAAATAGGTAAACTGGCACTGCATAGCATCACGAATAAATCAAATTCTTGTCTTTCATCTGCGCTGGAAGCAGATCTGCTCTTCTGCAGCGCAATCATCTACCTACCGTGGACAGATAAGGAGGCAGAGAGGAAAGATAATGCCAACCATCTGGCTTTTAACACGCACACACACACACACACACACACACGCACACACACAAACCCATGGTCAGCCTTGAATAGCAACACACACACACATATACATACATACAACACATGAGGTTTCAATTACTGCACGTTCTCAATTTCAAACACTCTGATGTAGAGAACATGGTCTACATCATCCACAGTTACACGCTTTCTGACCTTGATTTTATGGCGTCATATCTAGTGACTCAGAGCCAGACGTTTGTTGTACCTTGTCGAGTATGTCTATTTTCATTCCAGAGTGTGTTCGCTAAACTCTGCAATAGGTGGTAAAGTCAAAAGGTCTGTCTCCGCCTTTTTTTTCATGAGACACGCCCCTGACTTTATCCTCCCTGTCCCCTCTGGCCAGAAGAAGGTGCATGTCCGGACAGCGTGGAAGTATTTAAACAACTCAAAAATACAAATCCAGTTGTTAAAAGATATCACCGAAGCCTGAAGTGGGATTAGACGTGTGTTTAAAAATGCTTTCAGCCAGTCTGATGATGTCTGAGGATTTCAGCTGTTCCAGCCCTTCAGCTTCCACAATTAGAAACAAAAAAGCGATTGTTTAGAGAGGGAAAAAAAAGGACATTACAAGAAGAAAGAAGTGGATGATTGCCTCTGGGTGTGACAAGTTCACTTTTATCCATTGAGATATGCAACAAAAAAAGTATCTAAATATGTATTTGTGTTGCTTTTGTATTTTATTTAAAGAACTCATGGACTGATCAGTGGAGCAGCACTATTGGGAAGATTATTGTGTCTTGTTTAAGGCAAAAGGAATTTGGCTCTGCTCAAAGTGAGAAGTTCAGATCTATGAAGCTCCTCCCTTTCTCTCGACTCACTCACCCACTCGAGCACACCAGCTCCCTCACCGAACACTGTAAAACTACTCTACACAGTGACAAGTTGTAATACTGGAGTAAATCAGCCGTACATGTTCAAACTGGACTGATTCTGATACAGAAAGCTTCACCCTGACAGGATTGGTTTGTGACATATGAAACCCTAGAACAGTTAATCCGTGTTTTTAGGACTGTTGTAAGTAAACTGCTGCTTCGAAGCACTAATCCTCTGCCAATGTGTTGACTGATTACACTCATATGTCTTCTAACGTATAAAAAACACCATATGGACATTTTAACACAAAAAGAAGACTGAATTTCAATAGAGGGGTCTTTAATTGTTTATACCTCAGTTAGAGGAAACAACTGGTTTTTGTTATTCACCATCAGTGCATCTCTGGAACAGTGGTCCTCAGTTTTGTCAGTATTGCTTCACTGATGCCATCTGTCCCGCCTGGAATCAATTGATTCTGAACTGGATATTATTTAACGAATGTGTGGAAACAGAAGAGCTGCTGTTCCAATGTTCTGTACAGGGATCTGTTGATGCTCATTTTGTGTTTTTACATTTGGATTTGTATCAATTGGAGTGCTAGAAAGCTGCCTACTTTAGCTGCCCTCACATTTAGCTCTCTATTACAACACTGCACCATTATGTTGAGCTATTTCAACCATTATTTCAGTAATTGATCAAACAATTTCAAACATCACCCACTGGCCAGCTATCTTAACGAGCTATCCATTACTTTTAACAGTTGTTTCAACGGTTTAACGATTACTTTAAGCTAAAATTTCAACTAGCCATCCATTCTTTTCGCTGTTGGCTTGCTTTCAGTTTTTTTTTCTCACATATTTAGTCCCAAGTTGTTGATTCAGTTGATTAAATATATGTTCTGTCCATCCATCCATTATCTATACACCGCTTAATCCTCACTAGAGTCATGGGGGGCTGGAGTCTATCCCAGCTGACTCAGGGTGAAGGCAGGTTCACCTGGACAGGTAACCAGTCTATCACAGGGCTACACTTAGAGACAGACAACCAAGCACACTCACATTCACACCTATGGACAATTTACAATCACCAATTAACCTCAACATGTTTTTGGACTGTGGGAGGAAGCCGGAGAACCCGGAGAGAACCCACGCTGCACGGGGAGAACATGGAGACTCCACGCAGAAAGATCCCAGGTGTCCTAACCGGGACGCCAACCGGCAACCTTCTTGCTTCGAGGCGACGATGCTAACCACCGAGCCACCCTGCAGCCCCTATATGTTTTGTTTTACTTATTTTTTTTTTTTTTTTTAATCAAACTGAAATTTCCCTTTAGCTGCTCATGTTTCCATGTTTTTCCTGGAAACTGCAGAACTACTTTCTGGGATTAAACATACACCTGGTTTGAAGTCACTGCTCATTAAAGGACAATAATGAGTGATTTTGTATGTTTGAGCCAATTTCCACAATTACAATTTACGTGTCGTGCATTTGTAAACATTTTCCTAAGCTCACCACAAGTGTATGGATTGATTGAGGTGTAGTGAAGATTTAAAATCAGTTTCTTTTATACTGATTTGATTACATTGTGCTAACGCCTGTAAAACTGTAGAAAGCCTCAGGAAACATCATAGCAACTGTTGGAAACAAACACAAATAAAACAACTACGGTGACTTGACGACATGCTTTGTGTGGGTGATATTTTAAAATCAAGCTGAGGTTTCTGGGTTTTTTTAAACACAGCTGTAGAATCGCTTACGGAGGTTACGAGATGTTTCCTGTCACTTCTCAAAGAAACAGCAAAAAATGTAAAAAAAGTAAACACGGGAGTGACGAGGGTGAATTTATATTGCATCTACTCCTGCCCTGCGCTACAGAACCACAAAGTCCTGATGAGTGGTAAACTGATCCCGGACTGTAAATCCGACAACGTGCTGTTAAAGAAAAAAAAAAAAAGGCTCAGGATGCACTGACGACAGGAAAGCACAAATCTGCAGGAATGTTTATGTCATGAAAGAGGAACCCTGGAAATGCAGAAATTTTAATGCAAACATGGCCGAGTTGAACCAGGGGTTAAAGTGTTAACGCTGGCACGCTTTACAGACACAGATGATCCCACACATGCACACATTCACACACACACACACACAAAAAGTAATGCAGTCCCTTCGTCGTTTCTGCTCATTTCCTGGTATCCTTGACGACGACATATACACAGCTGCATCAGCTCAAAGCCTTCTTCCCCAATGACACACACACACACACACACACACACACACACACAGCGTTCAAATGTACTTAAGAAAGCATTTCCAGCTGCAAAACAGGAGGACAGAGGAGGATGGACACATAAAAAATAGGAGCAGTAAAGTATTTTCAAAAAGCTAAATGAAAGACAGAAATTAAACGAAGACAAATAGGATTATTTACGATTAGAAGTGTTAGAAGACACCAGTAAAAAAGAAATATGTAAATGTGCCCATAATGCCAGACATGTGACTCACATCCTGTCAGCGATCTCTGCCAAGAAGGGGATTGAGAAAAAGATAAAATGAGATCAAGAGGGAGCAGCTACTCGGAAAAGGAAAGAGGCAGACTCACATCGAGGCCTGGATCTCCAGCGTCTCCGTCATCTCCTTTGGGTCCAGGAGTTCCCTTACCACCCTGAGGACGGCACAGTGGGAGTTAGAGGTTCACAGGGGAACATGAAACAGGTTTAATACACATTCAGTGTGGCTGGCTCAGTGTAAAATGCCAAAATGCGTGTAAAGCCCATGTAATTCAGCTCAGTTTAAAGCTGCACAGAGAACCAGTGTCTCTTCTGCATGACTCAACGATCTGCCATCAAGATTATATCAAATCCAATCCAGTCTGATTTCTAATGAAAAGTTCAGCAAAATGAAATATTAAAGTTAAACCTACCGGCTCACCAGGGTCTCCACGGGGTCCAGGGTAACCCTAAAAAACACACAAAAAAACATTCAGAGTGCATCCACACCACGGCAAAGTGCGCCAGAGATTAAACCACCTGGAAGTCGTACCTGGAAACCATTGCAGCCTTCTGTACCGTTTCCTTGGACACCATCTTCTCCCTGAAATTAATAGAGAGAGAAACACTCACATCTGCACATATGCAAACCTCGTGGCCAACTCATGATGGATGGCACACATCTGTCTCTCCCCCTTCCTTCCCTCCCCCCTCTCCGTCTCCCTCACTCACCCTCCCCCCCATCGGGCCTCTGTCTCCCTGAGCTCCTTTGATTCCTCTCGGTCCTTTGGGTCCCTGGGAGACAAAAGCGGCGATAAGATTAGAAACACATGAAATGTGACATGTTCTCTGTGGAAACATTTGGATGTCGTCAACAGGCGCTGGTGCATGCATGTGTTTGTGCGCACAAAAACTCTGGATTAAAGACTTTTAACCCCTTCAACCAAGAAACTTCTCTGAAAACATCTCCAAGATCATTGAGTCACAGCTGTCAGGATGGAGTTAACAAGCTTGGAGTTTATGGATAAGAGACACTAGGGAGAATTATGCAACAAGTGTTCTTGCTTCATCACAAAAAACTCAATCAAACCTCATCAAAACTATAAACTAGAGCGTAAAAGTCCTCAAATGCAACTTTACACAATCTAAAACTTGGGAAATGCAGCACAACAAAGGCATCTATTTTCATCATACTCGTACAAGTAGATCTAAAAATGGCATCTGGTATCAATTGTATTAATAAATTCAGCCTGGTTCAGGTACATTTACCTCCAGTGTAACAATCAGTAACTGCATTTTACTACACATCCTGGCAAAATGCTTCCCTAGATTGCGTGACAATCAGCATCTAATCAGTGTAAAGGTTCAATACAACTGGATGTTAATAGTTCCTACTGACATGATTAATGACCACAGTGGATACAATACAGCTTTATGGATTTTGGAGCTAAATCTGTGGAGTTACAGTGCCAAGTTCTTACGCTTCAGGCTTCAAATCTTTAGTATTCCTCCGTTCTATTAAAATGTTCATGAGTAAATTGGCTCCTGGAAGTGCGTGACCTCACATTTTTGTAGCTGAGTCTTTCCCATTTTCAACAAGTGAGTAAAAGGTCAAAGAAAAACACTCGTGCAAAATACCAGCTCTAGCTTCGACAGAAAACAGTGCATTTAAGGTTTTTCGGGGCCTTTAAGCATTCGTGCGCTCGTCAGTAAACTGTGAGTGTGTCTCGTCGGACTCACTTCTGGTCCAGGTGGGCCTTCGTCTCCTCTGTAGCCGGGAGACCCCTGTCTGCCAGGCTCACCCTGGAAAACAACAACACCATTAATGAGACACCGTTAAAGCAGCTCAACAAAAACAGCCACATAATGGACACAGCTGAAGAAAACAACAGGCTCTGACACTGAGCTTATTAAACCTGCAACACAGAGGCAGTTGGTTGTTCTTAAAGCTTTGACTGTGACTAACTAAACTTTGGGAATTTCATGACCAAAAAAGTGTTGCACCAATAATTTTACATGCCGGATTCTCATGAGACCAATACGAGAATCCATCCTGTTGGGCTTCAAACTGTGCACTTGTGGCTCAAACACCAATTATTATCCTATTAGGAGACACTTGCAGCTACAGGCGTGTTTTAGGTATAATTACAGATGAAGTCGGAGATTTAAAGTGCTTGCCCTTTTCCAAACACTTTCCAATTACAACTTCTCATATGATTCTGTGTCACTAACCATCTGGTTCAAAAGGTTAAATATAATCCTAACCAACAGTGATGTCTACGTCACGGCATCCTGGTGAGAAGCTCAACTTCTGGAGACCAGCAAAAACAAGATCTGCAGCTAAGAATATATTTTTTTAAAAAAGAAATGTTCGATTTGACTGTTAACTCTGTTTTATTTGGTCATTATTCAGTAGACATGAGTCATGATCTGGCAGCATCGTTTGCACCAGCGAATTAAAGCAGTCTGATGTTATCTGTTGAAACTCACTTGAATGTCGTGACGTCTGTGTAAAAAGGACAGTCAGAGCTCATCAGTGGATGAAACAGCAGGGGAGAATATTTCCCAAAACGCGACAGTCGGTGCAGCTGAAGCCACAACATGTAGTCTGAGAGGATGCTGTACGCTCATGCACGTGTACACATGTGTGTTTTATTAACTGGTGCAATGTAACTAAGTACATTTACTTAATGTTCTTAAGCAGAAATGGGAAGAATCTGTATGTTAATTAATTTCTTTGCGCTCTCTACTTTGACGTTTTACTGCATTTATCTGACAGCTGTAGTTACTTTACTCCAGCTTTAAATAATTATCAAGGTACCCAACAGTTTATACAAGTACAGCTGATTAGTCCATTACTGAATAAGTCAGTTTATTTGATTCAAGGCAGCATTTTTCACTATTTTTCGAATTTATACAAACGACCAATAAATTCATGGAGAAATAATCTGCAGATTAATCCACAATGAAATGATCATTATTCACGGAAAATGAGCTCCACGTCAACTAACTACTACTACAGCAGTAACATTCTGCTTTTACATGAATGCATGAGCGGTAAAAATATCATGATGTGGTATAAAAGTTATAGGGGAGTACTTTAGTAGATTTTTTTGAATAATACTTCAATAATCTTTTCTTGTAGTTGCAACAGAGCACTTTTACAGTTTGACATTAGTACTTTTACTCAAGTAAAAGATGTGTGTATAAAACACACTGCCAGTACTTTACATTTGAGTGCATTATACGAGCACAGTAAGTAATGCGGTACAATAAAGCCTGGCAGTGAGGGCAAGTGATGAAGAGAGCAGAGCTGCATGTGAGGATATGGTTTTTCCTGAGTGAGTGTACGAGGTGCGTCCAACATGTCAGTTATTCCATGTTTTCCGTACTATTAGGTTCCTCAATGTTCGTTGAGCTCTGATGAGGAAAGGAGGCACATTTGAAAAAAGCACAAAAGAGCCATTGAAAGTTCTGACATCACGGAGGTTACCGCAGCTAACGCTTGTAACGTATTATTATTATTACACTGCCTGGTGCCTTATTAAGAAAAACCATAGTGAGGGTTTGGCCGGAGCAGACGGAGAGAAGAACTGAGTCAGAGGGGAAAGAGTGAGTGTAGATGTTCCCAGGAGGAGTGAAAAGCGAGGAGCGAGGGGGAGATGGAGCAGGGAGGAGTGGGCAGCACTCTGGGGCAGCAGCCAGGTTCGCCTCTGTTTAAGCTACTGCCTGGCGTGAAATATGGATGCACAAGTGCCGACACGTGCACGCACGCTTAAAAGCACGCACGCGCTCCGGCACAGGTTCCCCTCGCCAACTGGAAAAAAAGGATAATGCCAGAGAGGAAAGTGGGTGGTCCCTGCTCGGGGCTGTGCTGCCTCCCGCTTCTCGGTACCCGACAGGTTAACGTTCTGTTTGAATGTTTATACGTGAGTGGGGGTCTTACGGGGTCTCCGTTGGGGCCAGCTGAGCCCTCCCTCCCCTGCTCTCCACGGGGTCCTGGCTCGCCCTGTCAAAGAAAAAAAACAAATGTATAAAGTCAGAAGCAACAATAACCAGCAAAGCAGCCAAGTTTTGAATAAAGTCAGATCAGTAGGACTACATGGGGAGCGACGTTACGAAAACAGTTTGAGATCCACTGAGGTCAGTACGGTTGCAGTGGACTGCACACGCGTGCCAAACTCCATTTCCCACGAATTTCTTAGGAGGAGGTGCTGAAATGAAGCAGCCCCTGAGGGATCTACGTTTCATCCCTCCTCCTCATCCTTATCGTTACTTACCGCGTCTCCTCTCGGACCTCTGTTTCCGCGGGAACCCTGCTCTCCCTTCTCTCCAACTGTTCCCTACGAGGGATTTAAAAGCTGTTACTTTGGCAGCTCTCAGACACAAACACACCGTCTTAAAGTCAATATCGATTATATTTACTCTCTCGCCGCGGGTTCCATCTGCTCCAGGTGGCCCCTGAAACACAAACACACACAGCAGGAAATGAGAAGGTCTAACAAAAAGTCATGAACTTGATGTTTCTGGTGTCGTCCAAGCTTGTCACTTACATCATCACCGCGCTCTCCTTTGTCCCCGTCGGCTCCGCGAGGACCCCGATCACCCTGAAACATCGCAGATATTTAAACACGTGTCACAGTTCCCGCTCTGCCTTTCGTCATCCTCCTATGGTTCTGTCTGACTTACCTGAGGTCCCAGGGGTCCGTAGTTTCCAGGCCGTCCTGGATCACCGTCTCTTCCAGGATCTCCCTGGAATAAGCACACAGCACCTTAATACAAAGCACCGAAATTCAGTCTGAGATCTTTCGCCAGCACAAGTCTTTATGTCTTACTTTTTGTCCTTTCAGTCCATAAGAGCCGGGGTCTCCCTTCGGTCCAGAATCTCCCTGCATACCCTGGAAACATTCACCACAGAGACAGTTTCAGTCAATGACCATAAGCAGCTGAAGCCACAACACTTGGAGGCTGATGTACACTCATACATATGTGTGTTTGTTTACAGTACAGCTATATGGTTTCACTTAAACAGTCTGACAGCAGAGAATGTAAACGAAGCCGTGATTAAAGCGCTGGAGGGCCTCGGCCTGCCTGCCTGCCCCCCGAGCCTCCAGACGGCGGCTGCGATGGCGGTCAGGGCCACAGCAACATTCCTGAACATGCAACTCTGGCTAATGGCTAATCTGTAAACAAAGCATGGGGCGGAAGTGGCTCGTTTAGGCGTGTTTATGTGTTTGGGGCAGGAATTAAGATGCAAAAATGGAAAGTAGGTCTGTCCTAACCTCCACACGTCTGATCGAATTTGTATTTGCAATTCTTCGGAGTGATAACAGCGTGTTGACATGTGATAATTAGCATCCATCTGGTTGTGATTCAAACTGTCATGTGTGACATGAATTAGAGGAGCTCGAGCCAAGACTGTAACGGGTTGATTCTGAGGTTGAGATAAACAACTCACGTCTGATCCAGGAGAACCTTTACAGCCGGGAAGTCCAGGAAAACCAGCTTCACCCTAATGACAAAAAAACACGTCTTTAAACACATTTGTCAAACAAAACAAAAGAGAGACAGTCAGATGTGTTCTGATTGGACAACTCACCTTGCGGCCGTCAGTTCCATCCCTTCCTCTTTGACCTTTGTCTCCCTGAGAAGAAGAAACAGATGGAAAGAACAGACAGAATTAAAATGATGAAAGAAGAAAAGAACCATTAGAATTCAGAGGCAACCACCAGTAGCATCCCTCTGAGGATTGGATAGTCAGGAAAAGCTCACCTTGAAGCCTTTGTGTCCTCTTTCACCCTGCAGGAAAAAAAACACACACACCATGAATATTACAGAACACAACATTTGCTGAATCCTATTTTAAAAATTACTGTGTTTTGGTGTGTGATAGTACCTTGTCTCCTCTGGGACCGCGATCTCCCTGGAAGCAGAAATACACACATCATTATCATCATCACAGTGGAGGATCAAGTCTGAACTAAAACCAGCGATTGTGATTTAGGTGAACAACATAAATATCGTCAGATTCAGAGATTAAATCAGGACGACAAGAGCTCGCACTTAACCTGCTTGGTACAAGATGAATATCTCTTTTCAATAATAATCTTTATTTCCAGAGTCCTTCTCAAAGTCTAAGTGCTTTGTGAGGATAGCACAAGAAAACAGTCATAAAATCTAATTAAAAGGAGAAAATGTTCGACTAGCTTATTAATTAGAGTTGGTCTTGACATCACCACACGGTTTTCTGTGTCTTCATCTGTCTAGAACATCAGTTCTGTTGCTTAACAGCTGTACAGTACATTGGGATCCTATTTTTAATAAACACTCCCGTTATTACTACTTTTGTCTGTCAAGGCGTTGACATTATTTTTACTTATTACTCCAGTTCTCCTCCTTACAGCAGCTGCTCTCAGACTTCTCTGCGTATTTGTTATATTATTGTGTTACAATGGTTTATTTCATCGTTATTAATTGAACTTCTTTCTTTTTATTCTATGCTACTGTGCCTTCATTATCGGTTCTGTTACTACAGTGCGATCTCGTTGCATATTTTTGTGTTCTTTTAATGATGGTGGTAATTCCAACACCGCCTTTTGTTGCTCTGTAACAATGACAATAAAGATCTGGTTTATTGTTGACACTTCAAAATGAAAAAAAAGTGTAAAATTCTCAAACAAGGCTGGTACTGTGGCCCCAGAAAGTTCCTGTAAGTGTATATAAATATATATATACAGTATATGGGGAGGAATCCATATTTTCTACTGAAATGCAGACTTAGGTCGACATTTCACCAACTTTTGAGGCTCCAACAGCAGCAGAATCTCATATGTGGTGAGATGACTTAGCAAAATGCCATTATCAGTCCATTTTTGAGTCACTTTGGAGAATTTTTGATTATTTTTCAACAAAATATGCATCATTTTGGACCATTTTTTAACTAATTTGAGGCAGGTTTTAAATGATTACGGACCATTTTAAGTCATTTTGGACAAGGTTTGATTCAGATTTGGACAAATTTACTTGAATGGTATTGAAACAAATTAGGTTTCCAGTTATTTTGGACACAGACGGAGGAGTGTCCAGCTGATCTAAATGACAAATCACACAATTAGGAGTGGGATGGGGATTGTAAATATTCTGATATTACCATCCTGCTGTTGTTACGCTACCCAATGAATAAAATGAAAGGATTATTCAGTACATTTGGCTGCTAGAGCGGCAAAGGTTGCATGGAGAGCCTCCAAAATGGACTTTGTTTTGTCAATTAAATGTACATAGAACAGTAAGTAACACAAACTCACTCATTTAGCTTTGAAATACCGTTAAATCCCAGTATCACCAGTGCAACAACTGCATAGGCTGTACTGCTAATGCTCCATTTATTTAGCGACCACTAAGTCATATCAAAATCTACAAGCTCACTCTACCTTCATTCCACTGTAACCAACAGGACCGGGATCACCAATGCTGCCCTGTAACAAGAACACAGAAACATTAGATCCAAGGAGACGTGTCGATTGCTGTCTTGCTTCACATGTGTTGGTGGAGTTTCACCTACAATGTCACCGATATCTCCTTTCTCTCCTGGCATCCCTGGTCGACCAGTTTCTCCCTGTAGAGAGGGGAAAAAAGCAGAAGTAAGTTCACATGGTTTGAATGAGACGATGAAAGTTTTGTACAGGTTTGCGCTTGTAACGACAGATATCCCACCTTTCCACCAAAGTCTCCGTCTGGTCCTTTGGGGCCTCCAGGAGCCTGCACACAAAACGAGAAGACGGCGATGTGATTGCTCGATAAAGCGTGAACGGCATTTATGTTTGCTGTAAGATAACAAATGAAGTACTTACGTTGCAGTCGAAGGAGCAACACTGAAAAAAAGAACAGAAAGATGTTAAAGCTGGAGAGGTGTCACCGTGGTGAGGTTGGGCTATGAAGATCATTTTCACTGCTGAGCTTATCATCACCATATTCTAGAAGCTGGACAATATCTTGGTGCTTTCAAGGTTTTTTTTTTTCCCTTTTTGTTAGCATGTCTTAGCTTTTTGTGCATGTAAAGGTCTGCAAACTTACATAGCCCACAACCTACACCAGTGGAAGCATTGCTGTTTACATGCATGAAATGCCTCAGGTAACGTGGAGGCTTTTCTTCCGTTACTTATTGATGTCATCATGTAACACATTTGCGTAGCGCCTGCCGAGCAGCTAGTTTGGCTCCTAAACAAGGAATGAGCAGCTGCCTGATCATTTCCTCACTAGAGCTGCTCCTGCTAAAGCTACATTCCTATACTCAAAAATCTGAGGTTACATTAGAAACCAACACCGCCGATCAGAGGCGATTAGGCTTTTCAGGAGGAGGCCTTCAGTGTTTCAGCTGACAGACAGCGAGCAGACGTGCTGCAGCAATGAGAAAACTCATGTGTTTATGAACACTGAAGCATGCAAACATATTCTAGAAACTTGCAAATGTGCATGATATGGGTCCTTTAAGATAAAACGACTGCAAGGAGCCAAAACTGTGATTATCACAGCGATCTTAATTGGCTTCTCATGTTGTTCTTTCAGCTTCTTGTGTGCGTCCTGAGTGACCCCTCCTTGCTTCCTGAGTTTTTGAGAGTTTAGTAGAGTTTACATATGAGCGGAGATAAAAAAAATAAAAAATCTGAACCAGCAACTGAGACAGAACAAGAGGAAGGTAGCGACCTGAACTACAACTCTATAAGCATCTATTTACATTTCAGTCTGATTTATCGCTCTGAACTCAACTCGAGTAGCCGCAAAGTAAAAAAAAAAGTGTTTAGAGGAGAAATCTGTTCTGTAAACGTTCTTAAGTCGCGAGTGTACAACAGTATGAACTACATCCAGCTGCATCAGCAAAACTCCTCCTAAACAAATGTGTTGCTGCGATGTTTGAGTTAACAAACAGAATAGCGAATAATTTGTCAGTCTAGGCATTTAGGAAGAATGTAGTTTCCATGTAGCTACCTTTTACTTCCCATTTGACTGCAAACTTAAAATGAATTTCCTTAAAAAGATTTGTTAAAGAAGACGTACCACATCCTTGGTCTCGTTTGTCTGAAAAGAAAGGAAACAAAAACGGTGATTAGTTTGAAATCTAAATGTTTACAGAGAAGAGAAGAGAAGAGAAGAGAAGAGAAGAGAAGAGAAGAGAAGAGAAGAGAAGAGAAGAGAAGAGAAGAGGATACATGGATACATACGATCATATTAATGATGGTTCGGATGGTTTCGATCTTGGTGGATCTGGTGTCGCCGTCTGCAGCAGTGAAGTTCTGTCTGTAGGTCTGATCTGTGGCGATGAGGGACAGTCTGGTGTCCTGGTGAGAGAAACAGCATATTTACTTCCAAGTCTGATGAAAGCATCTCACATATGTCCTACTAGCCACAGTTATATTAACAACACTTAGAGTGGAGGAGCTTCTTAGAGGTTGTAAAATCCATCGTTCAGTGATTGGCTTCACCCTCTTGGCATAAAACTGGCATTTAGATGACCTGTCCTTGACACCACAGCTCATACAGCGTGAAAAATGATTCTTGTTTTTAGCTGCAATCGATATAAAACACAGCGATACATGTATTTATAATGTCTAATCTTCTTTACATGTCTGTTGTGTGCATGTTTTCGTAGCAATTAGAGGAAAACCAATTTGATTCTTAGACTTTTGGGAGTAAGAATATTTTCTTTTCTATTACACTTTATGATATTTCACTTCCTTTCACTTTGCTTCACTGTTCACTTGACTTGAAGTTGCTTCACTTCACTTAATATGACCTCATCTTTAATTGCATTATATTGATGACTAGTTGAAAAAGGTCCAAAAATAATAATCATACTGCAATTATTTTAACAGATATAATCATCTAAGTCATGCTTTAAGTGTGAATGGCCATCTTTTACATTTCTTTTACGTTGAAACAAGTATAAAACTGATAATGTGATTTTCCTGTGGTCGGTCCAAATCTGTTCCCTGACATTCGGAGAATACGATTTGTAGGCCTCTGCAGCACCACAATGCTTCATTTTTAAAAAGGGATGTTGTGACACATTTTTTACCTTCCCCATAAAATTGCAGCTCCTGCAAGTTAGATGTTGCACTTGGCCATACTGCAATGTCAATAATCTTGTTTATCTTTGTTCAGCCCCAGTGAACACACAACTAGAATCGGTGGAATATGTTTCTGGAACACAGCTGGGTTTACAGTGTCAGCAGGGTTGTACACAGACCGACGTCAAAGAGCTGTTTGAGGGCTGAGAATCAGTGTTTAGGGTCAGGGTAAGAATTGCAAAAATGGACTTCAGAGTGAAGCTGAAAGCAGCACAGCATCAGAAGGATGAGTGAGCCAGATCGGTGGGTGTTCTCTGAAGGTAAAGTCTTCCTAGTGAGACAATTCTTATGCATCTTTGCACAGGACTTGTTACACCTCTTGTTACTCCTGAGTGTATAAATGCTGCATCAAGATATCATGGAAATAACACCTAAAACATGGTTTTAATTGACAAAATGAGTGGTAGAGTTTATTATTCCAACACATTGTGGTGGTTAAGGTTCGGCTTGTGGGTTCTGAACGGTTCCCTAAATGTGGCTCCCTGTCAGGACAAAGGTAAAAGTGTGTGTTTATGTGTTTTGTACCTCCTGGTCAGGTGAGACGGCGACAGCAAACACTTTGACTCCATGTTGTCTGGCTTCGTTGGCAGCCTCCTGCACGCCTCCACACGGCTCTTTGTAGCCAGTGATAGGATGGCCATCAGTCACCACCACGATGTACTTGTTCTCGTGGTAGTGGGAGCCCCTGCACACAAACAGACACACAAACACTCAGAAACTACATCGCTCTTGTCATTACTTCTTCAGCCAACGTGTATATGTGTTAGTGTTACCCAACGAGCAGCTCAGCGAGGCCCCTCTTGATGGCACAGTCGGTGTATGTGCCTTTGCCGATGTACGAGATGGCATCGATGTCTCTCTTCAGGTCATCCCGCTGGGTGTTCATGTCGCTCAGCTCTCGCACGAGGATGACGTCGTCACTGTAGTGCAACGCTCCTGAGTTCCACGTCAGGATACGATCACACCGGTGGCGCCTGGAGAAGAAAAGGTGTGACGGAAAGACAGACGTCCAACAAAATTTAGTACATTAGAATTTCTATTTAAATGTACTTGATGCATCTGCTCCACTACATTTCAGGGAGTTGATGACTGAGTATCACTTAAAATGATTACTATGATCTTATTATGTCACTAACAGGAGCACAGTGAGCACTTTTTACTTGGACACCTTTCTTCTCAGACCACAGGGAGCATCAGTGGTGGGTGTGGTTGGCAGGGATGGAAGCTAATGAAGCACATTTATCCAAGTTCTGTACAATTCTGAGATATTTGTTCCACACTTGAGTATTTCCATTTTATGCTACTTTAAACCTTCACCCCACTGCATTTTAGAGAGAAACGTACTTTCAATTCCACCACATTTATCCAACAGTTTTAGTTACTTTTCAGATGAAGATTTTTTACAGCAGATATTATAACAAGTATTTAAAATACAACACATTGCTGAACATTAAACCAGTGGTTTCCAAGCTTTTTGGCTTCTTACAAGCAGCAGTGTGTAGTTGGGATCATGTTTCAGGTGTCTATGAGTTTACAGCACCACAAAAAAGTGATTTTTCCCACATGGTTTCATTTTAAAAGATTAAAAATCTCTTAAGATAAGAGAAAAACTCCAAAAGCTGAAAACATTTTTCTCCTCTGCCATTAATCACGTGACCACCTGTTAGATTTATCTGCTGTCTTTGTGTATAAAACTGTTTATAAAGTAGCTGAAACTAGCTCCACCTGCAGCAGATACAACATGCTGCTGACACATTTTGATGCTTCACTATTAATAATCTAATCATGTCACACATTATAATGAACCAATCGAAGGGATAATAGTTTTTTTTATGTTTTTTTTTTTTTTTTTACTTGTAATGAAGTATTTTTACTTTGCTGTGCTGATAGTTTTACTTAAATGAAGGATGTGAATACTTCCTCCATCACCAGCAGTTGGGTGTGGTCACGTGTGTAACCTGTAGCCACACCCACCAGTGATGTCACAGTGGCCCAGAGTGCACCTGTGCATCCCTGTGCAGCATTATGAGAGGTTGAGGTGGTTCATTTCAGGTAATGAAGGTGTGTGTGTGTGTGTGTGTGTGTGTGCGTCTTACATGTCCTTGAGTTCATCTATGAAGCGTTTGGTGAATCCTTTGATCTGGTCGATATAAAAGTCGGAGGGTGTCTGTCTGAGGGCGACACTCTCAGACGTGTCCAGGACGAAGAAAAGGTCGACGGGACACTCTGCTCACACAACAAACACACAGAGACGAGTGTCAGTAAATAATATAGTCCACTGTGAAACACTTAACGATCCACCCAGTGTCAGCTATTTCTATCTGCTCAGTAAATGGTTGACATCCAGGTTTCAGCTCAGGTGGCACTACTGCAGCTGTGCAGGCCTGCAGGCTGGTAAGATAAATTGGAGCATCATACTGGGTGTTGTAGTGCACATCCTCCTGGGTCAGATTTATACAGGTAGGCTTGTGACAGATGCAAAACCTCTCCTGACCTGTGCTACAACTGTTGCCCATCACCTGAGGGGGCAGACCAGGTGCCTTCATCTGCTTTAATTCTGGGCCACATTCCTAACTTCTGCATCACACATCTTCTTCAGTTCTACACACAAAACCAACAGGCCCATTAAGACAACTACTGGGCCACACCAGAGGTGGGCCTGCTCAAGGCGGGTTGAGGATTCTTTCACCATCTTACTCTCAGCTGCTGCTGCTGCTGCTGCTGCTGCTGCATCTCTGCTGCTCATTTGCAGTTTCATAAAACATAAAACCCAAAGACAACGAAAATCTGCTCTTTCAGCAAAGCATGACTTCAAAACATTCAGCCACCTTTAAATGCAGCACAGCGACTTGAAACGCCACACAGCAGAGACATTTGTTCAGAAAGTGCAGCATATCTTCAGCAAACTCACCCGCAAACCTGGATCCTTGGATCTCCCTTTGCGCTCCAGCCAGGAAAACGCACAGCAGCGCAAGGAGAACTCTGAGAGTCTCCATGATTAAACTGCGAAAAAACACCTAAAAACTAAAAGGAAACGACGCCCCAGTCCCCAGAAAAACCGACAGCGAACCTCTCCGACCCCGAGACCGGTACTTCTACACCGATTCGGCGAACTTTTTGGTGATCCAGCGCTCCGCCGCAGTTTGTCCGAGGCGAGACCCAGAGCGCGCAGAGGAGGACCAGAGCGCACGGTGAAGGGAGGAGGAGGAGGAGGAGAGGAAGGAGGAGGAGTTCATAGACTTTCTCTGAGGAGGAGGATGAGTAGCTGTTCACCAGAGCGCGCACAGGCCAAAAAGTTTATACTAAATCCTGGACATGCACGCTTCCTTAAAAGGGGTCCTCAGGGACACGAAGGACATCCACAGGAATAAACAATAAACTGCAGATTCTGTGCGCAATTTCTTTCTTTCTTTCATTTTTTTTTCATTTGTAAAAAAAATAAAGTATAACTGGTCTTGTTTAAACGGTTTAAGAACATGTGTACTGTGAAATCAGGGATGGATTTTTATGTCTTTATTTTTAACCCTCACATTTGCAGCTACAATCTCCTTCTTAAAATGTGGCATGCAAAAATCCAAAAATGCAACTCTGCCTAGATGCACACTGAAGTAATTTCATTGGGCCTTAATGAAAAGCAGCTGATGCACATCTTGGAAGCATTTTGTATTCTCTTTCTGTAAAAAAAAAAAATCTTTCCCCCCACTTCTGTGGAAGATGGGGTGGGTGGAGTTATAATACATCTGGTTCACTTTGGCTCCAGACCTGACCTGAACATAAAAGTAAGAAGTGGAGGGCGTAGAGAGAGGGAGAGGGTGGAGGAGAGGTGAGGTGAGGTGGGGGAAGAGCTGGACTCCCTTTTTTCCTCTGAAGCAGGAAGAGACACAGTGCCATCTAGTGCTCCATGTGGGCCGATCTTGGAGAAGACTTCGGAAAGAGTTATGGGGGCGCGGAGAAGGAGAAGTGTGGGCGAGGGGTGTTCGTTTGGCAAGGTGTGGATGTGGGTGGATGTTGCACCGTTGCCGTGGATATACACATGTGTGTGTTGGGGGGGGACGACTGCAGGGAAGGTCTGGCCTGGACTCAGATTTTCCACTGAGATCACTGTGTCAGGGAGGGAAGGGAAGGAAAGAAGGCAAAAAAGGAGAGATGAGGACGAGAGAAGGGGGACATCTGGTAATGATCTGTGTTTATTAGCAAGCTCTCATAGTAAATCTGTTGGATTTCTGGCAGCTGTGCGTTCAAGCTCTGTGTAAATTGTGATGCATGCATTTAGAGATGTCTCAATAGCGGCCTTCATCAGGAATACATTATTCAATAAACCCTCTATGGAACGTATTCGCAAAGCAGTTCAGATTTGGGAGGTCTTGTCTAAAGCGAGGCTGCCTCTTTCTTTGTCGTATTTCTGCATGAAAGCTGGCAGGTGGGACTCAAACGGCCGTATTATCTCACTGAGAAGTCATTAGGAGTTCAAAATAAAGCCATGAATGCACATACTTCCTAAAACTGAGAGGCTCTGTGTAATGTCACGGGCACAGCCTGCTGACTTTCCACAGGATCCTGATGTTCAGAGGAGAAGATTAGTAGCATTTCTGAGTCAGAGAGAAGAAATACTGGCCAGCGCAGCCAGAGTCTCCAGTCTTGCAACATTTAACAAGCATTCGTCTTCTGTGGTTGTACTTCCATGTGAATGGCAGAGAGATGGGTTTGTTTTAGGAGGAGTGACTCAAAGGTTGCTGTGCATAAGCGATTATGGATGAGATGAAACACAAGCGTGGAACAAGGGGAGAAACTGAGGGTAAAAAAACACGGCTCCGCTTTTCCAGTGAAAACATAAAAGTCAGCACAGATGGAAGAGATTAATCTCAATCTGACTCATGATCTCATTACAGGGAAGTTAACACACACACAGCACTGGGAACAGAAACAGGCTTTTATGATCGTTAGCTAAACGAACTACAGGATCCCGTTGGTACAGTGCAAAGAAATACATTTAAAATATGTGGTGGGCGCTCTTTATCATTACTTAGAACACGCCAGATACTGAGAGGCACCAGTCAAAACATGAGGAAATTGCAGGTTAATCAAGATTCCAAACCCCGCCAAAGAAAGCTAATGACAGGAAATGGGCCAGATTAACTTCCGCAGTATTTGTCACTCATTAATCTTTAGCCTGCTCAAATATCTCCTCAGGTCCTCCAATCTGCAGCAGAGCAAATATTTGATTGCTTCCTTCAAACTTTCCTAAAAAAAAGAAGAAAAAGCGGTGGATAAATCAGCACAGAGCAAAAGGAGAGCGGTGAACGTGGTCACCTACTGCCATCTAGTGAATCCTTCTTTTATTGTTAGCAACACCCAACACTGCCCTCGCTGATTCTGAGAGCTCTCCCTGATGTTTTTCTCTGGTTAAATAAACTCATGAACAAAGAGTAACCAAGGTAATTTAATTCGAAACTCACAAACCTTGCAAACCACGGTGAGGATATAAAAGGCCTAAAGGAAATAAAGTAACATCATGTTGAAATAAATGGCATTCAGCTTTTAAACTTCTCACAATATTTGTCATCCAGCGTATTTACAGACTTCACTTCTGTTACTTTCAAAAATATATATATATATTTTCACCAATATTACAGCTCCTCAACATACAGTATGTCTCCTAAACAGCACAGAGCTCAAAGAGTGTCACAGTGGAGAAACCGTCTGAACTACGTTTGCGTTGCTGGTCCGGACCAGTTATATGATGCTACCGGTTTAGGGAAATGATTTCCAGACACAACACAAAAGAGGGATGATGTGACACTTTACATGATGCATTTATTGTTTATCACTGCCTTCAAAAGGCCGAGCTGTGACAGTATCCAGCTACTGGCTGCAAGCACAGTTGCTGCTGCGTATGGTTGCTGTTATACTCCGACTCCTCTTTGCTGCTCACATTAAAGGCCCTCTCTTGTCTATAAATTAATACCAAAAACTGTGTATCAGAGTTACATATTCAGATGTTTTTCTTCCATGAAAATAACCCCTTGCTACCTTAAAATGGCCTCAATGTAACTCTACACCTTGGTGCCCTTTATAATGTGTCACTCTGTGAAGTCCATGCAGCTCAAACTCGACGCTACACAATGGCAAGTTGTAATATTAAAGTAACTCAACCGTACATGCTGTGACTGGACAGATTCTGGAAAAAAAAGCAATCCGGAAAGCTCCACCCGCCAAGCTGACAGGATTGACTCTTCAGGTATGTTACAAGTCCAGAGATCTGAATCTGTGGTTTTGAGACTCTCATCAGTACACTGTGGCACTGACTGCCATGATGTGGTCCCAGCATATAAGAAAGCACCATGTGGGATGTGGATAAGGTTAAAAAAAAGAACTCATCTTCAATGGAGAGTCTTTAATATTAGCCAAAGAAAGCCTTGTTAAGGCACACAGGAGTTGAATCTGCTGTGCTTTTGTCTTACTTATGCTAAGACTTCAACACAACCCTCAGTCAACAAACACAACTGCTACATGTAGTGAACACTACACCCACTATGAACTAATGTACCTCAGCCAGAACCTTAACAACCAAAGTAAAGCAGTGGCCACAGCTGATTACAGCAACAGTCTGCCTCAATCAGCCGTGGCAGCAGATGGTGACTGAGCTCCCCTGGTCGTCTTTATTACTGCAGCAGGGCAGACTTGTGCTTGAGCAGTCACAGCTCAGGTGGGAATGACTCTTGCTGTGGTCTCAACCAGCAGCTCTCTGATGCTTCATAATACAGCTCAGCCTCTCTACACGGATCCAGAAACTATCAAAGGTAAAGCAAAACCTTCTACAAGGGACCGCAAAAGTAATTCAGACAAATATTCACCTCTGTGAGTCTCAAAGAGCTCTGCAAAATAATGTCCACCATAACATCCAGATGTGTTCATGCATAAGGAACTGATGTACAGTAAAAAAGAAACACTCAAAGTGTGGTGAGGAATGAGAACAATTTGTTTGTGCTGGTTGTCATAGTCCTTGACAAATGGATGTTATGATTACATGTACTTCACAATGAAAAGGAAAGTAATCACCTCAATCTCAACAGTAACCATACAGCATCACGCTATAGTCTGTATTGCTAAGTTTAGTTGGTCCTTTGAAATTTTAGTAGCCACTCTGTCAATGAAGCGTTTCAGTCTAGGACTACAATGTTATTTGATTCGGCTCCAGTTTGCCTTCTTGTCTGATTCAGTTCATGTTTGAGTGGCTCTTGAGGTGCCTCCTCAGGTGGTTCAGACAGGTGTAGGTCTTGGGACAGATCTGGCAGTGGTACGGTCTCACCCCTGAGTGGTTCAGCATGTGCTGCTTCAACACACTTCCGTCTGAGAAGGCTTTCCCACACTGAGAGCACACGTAGGGCCGCTCCCCGGTATGCACACGCATGTGGACGGTCACTTTGTGTGCCATTGTAAACCCTTTACCACACACTGTGCACTTGAACGGCCTCTCTCCTGTGTGGGTGAGCCTGTGGGTTCGCATTGCACCCATCTGGGAGAAAGCCTTCCCACAGTCGGGGCAAACATGTGGCTTCTCTCCCGTGTGAACCCTGGTGTGACTCCTGAGTCCTCCTGCTGTGGAGAAGCACTGTGAGCAGTGAGTGCACTGGTAAGGTCGCTCTCCTGTGTGAGTGCGCATGTGCTGCTTCAAATCGTAGCGGTTTCTGAAGCCACGACCGCAGACCAGGCAGCTTTCTGGTCTGTCATCATTGTGCCGCAGCTCGTGATTGGCCAGACATTTTTCTGACAGGAAACACTTGCCACATTCCTGACACTGGTAGGGTTTCTCGTGGTCAACCCTCTGATGGTATTTGAGCTCACTGATGCCAGGGAAGGTCTCGTCACAGTATCTGCACCTGAAGCGATGGTTGGGGCTGTAGGGAAGCTGATGTTCGCTCATCTGATGGTTCCTCAGCAGATGAGCCATCTTGAAGGTCTTTCCGCAATGAGAACATTCGTATTTTGTCAGCAGCTGCACACACTGGTGTCTGACGCGTTCGTGCAGCGACCTGAACTGACATCCGCACTTGGTGCAAATGTGGGCAGCGTTTTTGCACTTCCTCTTCCTGTGTCCTGACAGGTGAGCCTCTGTGCGGAAGGCTTTACCGCACTGAGAGCATTTGTAAGGCTTCACCGCTGTGTGGAACCTCTGGTGTTCGAGGAACTCAAAGCGATACTTGAAGCTCCTTCCACACAGCGGACAGTTGTGGGTGACTCTTCCTCGTGGGTACACACCTTTGAGGCCCGCTTTCCTGGAGGACAGAGATGATGAGGAAGTCCGATGACCTGAGCTGCTTTTCCTGTGTTTACCTCCACTCATTAATTTTGCTGCCTCCATCTCACCAACCTCCTCGTGCCGTTGTTGATGTTTGGTCAGGCTCTTTGAGGAGATAAAGCTCTTTCCACATTGCTTACACTGATAAGGTTTATCATGATCAACTTGCTGATGATACTTCAGGTCACCAATTCCTGAAAAACCTACTCCGCAGTGGCTGCATTTGAAAAGGCGGCTTTGAACATGAGTTAACAGATGTTCCTTGAGGCTGCTAGACTTTGGAAACCTCTTTCCGCAGTGTCCGCAGTCGTAGTTGCGTCCTCGTTTTGGGCAGTGGTGTCTGAATTTGTCCAGTGAGGTTGGAAAACTGTTCCCACATTTAATACACAGATAAGCAGCATTTTTGCATTTGCGTAGCCTGTGACCTGCCAGCAGAGTGGCTGTCCTGAAAGCCCTCCCGCACTCAGAGCAGTTGTAGGGCTGCAGCCCGCTGTGGACTCTCTGGTGCTCGATGAGGACAGAGTGATGTTTGAAACACTTGTCACACTCGGGGCATTTATGTATTCCTGACTGCTGTCTCCTGCGAGGGGACGAGGGGATATCAGTTCTTTTGGGCGATTCGGGGAAGTCAGTTGAGGTGGAAGGGTTCGTCGACAGTTCTTCATCAAACATGACGATCTGAGGGACGTCGTTATTTTCATCATCACAAGCACTTGGGTGGGAAGCGATGGCCACTTCCAGAGATGGAGGGAGAGACAGAGAGGGAATCAGAAGATCATCTGACTGAAATGGAGCTGCAGGGAAAATGAGAGAGAAAAAATATGAATACATCGTCCTACGTCTTGAATATAATAATGCATTATGTTTTGAAGTACATGCAAACATACCGATGCTGCTCTTTGCCAGCTTCCCGTGGCACTGTTTACTCTGGAGAAGGAATTTAAGGTCATCTCCATTTGAGACACACTGCATGTACTCCTCTAAAACAGAGGGGGCAGCACTGATCCAGGATGCAGTCTGTAACAGATAGACATTAAAAATTTGAATTTCAAATTACAAGAGGTCCTATTCATTTCTTTATTATGTATATATATATATATATATATATATATATATATATATATATATATATAATTTTCTGTACCTGTTTGAAGTCTGGAATGGGCAGAAGCTCCTCTAGTCTTGTGAAGAATTCACAAACCAGAGTCTCCAGTGCTGTGTCAAAGTCAGGGCCGTACTCCACAGGGAACACGTTCTGTCAGATTAGAAATTAAAGACAGATTGACACCATCAGTACAGAATATTATCGTTATGCAATCAGCATTGTTATTTTCACCAGGGTCCCCACAATTTCACCATAACGGTAGCATGTGCAACCAAAAATCCAAAGGTCCAAGTAAACATTTTAATTAGTTCCACTGGTGGACCTGTTACTACCAGATCGGTCTGTGTGTCTCTGAGCAGTTGGCACTGGTAGACAAAATCACTTGGTTCCAACTTCAGTAAATCTGACATAAAAAAGCTTTATTCCCTCTTTTTAAACTAGTTTTTGGCCACACACCTCTGAGCTGCTGCACTACAGCAACAAAGGAGACACTAGAAGCTCGTCTGTGTACAGCTGGCTCGACACATCTACCAATGCATGTAGGGAATTTCAGAGACATCCGTAAATTGTTGCTTCATAAAAGAACCTGAATTACACTGTCCCCTTCTGAACTGCATGAGTCGCTGCATTCAAATAGGTCATGTGGCACTACTCACCGCCACACTAAACTCTCAAGTAGTGGAGAACACTGAGACAAGTTAAAAAATTACTAAAAAGAGCACAGAAAAAGAATAGCCGTGAATTGAAATGTCAGGAAAAGCCCTGTGGCCTCTTACTGGAGCATTTCAGCAACAGGTAGCAGAAAACCCAAGCAGTAAGGCAGAAAATATGATGATAAAATGTAAAACTCCTGATGGTGTAACCAGAGAAGAAACTCTTTCTACTGTGTTTAAGTCCCAGATCATACTTGCATCTTTATTCCTTTGTACAATCATTTACAAAATGTGTTCAGACCAGTGTGTTTGGGAAATAACAAAAAAGAACAAAACTTTAAATGTATTATTTGGTACCAAAAGATGCAGTAAAAAAAATGTGGGAGCACCCAAATGATAGGCGCTCCAGTGCAACCCATGTAAAAAGTTAAACTAGAACCCTGCTCACCCTTTGATAGGGTAAACTTTGATTTTAAAAATGATTACAGGAATTGTTTCTGCATTGTATAAAATAAACATCATCTTTACCTTGAGGAAGTGTTCTCTGCCGTCGGTGTCTTCAATGAGGCCTTGAACCAGCTTCATGAAGTTCGCCTCTGGTGCTTCAATCACTGGATCATTTGTCTGAATTACAAAACAAGACACCAATCAGGTGACTTCAGGATGATAAAATATTTAACACCCAGTTAGGTCTGCAAATGATGATTATTTTCATAAATGTTTAGTCTGCTTATTGTTTTCTTGTTTAATCAATTCAGCATTTTTTTCTCTATAAAATGTCAGAAATCATAAAATAATTCCACATCAATTCCCAAAGCCTAAGAGGATGACCTAGTTTACCTTTAAGTAAAACGAAAAAGCAGAAAATCCTAATATTTAACAAGTCAAAACCAGTTAATTTCACATTTTTGCTTAAAACAACTGGTTAAACAATAAATCCATAACCAAAATGTTTCTGTGGCATCACTCACCTCCTCGATGCAGGAAGATCGGATTCGGTTGAGGTGGGTCTCAACAGCCTTGAGATCTTCAGGGTGTTCAGAACGCAGCAGTTCCAGAGTTGTCTGGAGGAAATGCAATTTGTGATTTTAATGTTTCCCACCTACACCTTCCTCTTGGATCTCTTATACACACGACGCAGCCAAAAATTTGACTTACCCTTGCCCTCAGGCCCAGTGAGAGTAGCCTCCCCTCTCGTTTACTCATCAGTTCAGGAACCGCATCCGTTACCATGGACACAAACTCCTCCAGTTTCCCATAGTGCTTGATGTTCCTCTGGCGCACGACTTCCCACATCACTGCAGACATCAGGCGTAGCGGTGGGACCAGGAGGGCCAGCGAGGACAGGGGAACGCTGAATTCTGCAAAGAGAAATTAGACTCTGTCAAACAAACTTAACAGCGGTTTGACAAGTTTGGTGGCCCAGAGTCCACCAGTATGGTTAAATACGCTTTGTTCTGACTTTGGAGAAATGTCTCTTGTGTAGTTTGAAAGGATGGAATTAATGTTATTTATACAAATGGTTGTTCACACTACAGACTTTTTTTTACAAATTTAACACCAGGAATAATGTGCAGTGCTGATAAGAGACTGAAAGTACTTTTGCTGATCAGTATAGCATCTCACTTTAAAGTCACTGAGGACAGCAGCTTGTTCACTTTTCCACTATCCATCTCTATGATGCAGCAGCTGTACAAATATAGCACTACATGATGCCCTCACACCAAGCACCAGGTCTGTGTGCAGGCTTCAGCCCCTCATTTCATGTCTCTAGCACGAATCTCTGGGATAATCCTGTCATGCTAAAGCAAACACATCCAGTGGTTTTACGCTAAACTCTGCACACATAACAAGGAGGTGCTGAGCTGCCAATTTACTGATGACTGTTAACATTCGCAAGCGGCTAACTGTTAGCGTCTCGTTTGTCACTTTATTTTAAATTAAAATGCTTCTTCTTAACTGTCTGTTGAAAAGACCAAAGTTGTATCGCGTTTGATGATTTAAAACCCGTCTTCCATCTCAGAAAAACAGTTTTAAACACGAGTTACCGTTACTGTTTACAGCGTTAGCTTATGCTACAATGCTAGCCCCAAGGCCGCTGGTGTAGCCTGGCAAGACCGGCTTATTAGTGGGCAAAACAATTCTTGTTCCAGGGATTAGTCGAGGCCTGTTGCCGCGAATAATCCTTCGCTTTGGCTACCCAGCTAGCCGCATAAACAGCGTAAATGCACAATGTTGTCCAGCTTTACATGTTAATACATACCTATGTCGTTCATTTTGAAACTCTTTAATGACGCCGGGAGGAAAATTTAATACAACGGAATATCTTTCATAGTTTCGGTTAGCGTGCTAGCTAACCGAATACGAGGCTTCAGGCGCCAACTTCTTCCTGAAACACGTTGTTCATTATGGAGAGCGCTGGCCCAGTCAGTGTCAGTTTAAAACGGGGGCGTTCGTTTTGCTCCACGGAGCAGCCCGTGTGCCGCCGATTCTCATTCATTATACTGTCCAAATCAGACGCACCGCCCCTCTCGGACAACCGAAAACATAAATCTCAAGAGTAAACTTAATAAACAGTATTTTCCTCCAAATTATATAGATTTGTGTAGATATTAAGATAAAAGGCTTGGATATTTTATTTTTTCATTTTCTAATACTCAGATAGTATTGTAAATATTTATATTGCTTTATGATAAACTTACAAAAAAATTAATATAATAATAAATAATACAATTTTGTACTTGTTAGTGTTGACTGTTGTGCAGCAAACACCAAGTCAAATTCCTTATATGTGAAACCTACTTTTCAATGAAGCAGATTCTACTATTGGAAAACTACATTTAATAAGATGTCTGCTGCAATTTCTGCTTTACAAGAACATCTTAAAAAATGTGTATTTCTCTTAGCTGTCCAATTTATCGTTACGTGCAAAGACAGAATGCTGAAACTGTAAAATACCACTGCAGGATATGTTATGCTGGAGTACAGAGCGAAAAAAATAGGCAATAGGTGGCTGTAACTTTATGGTGGTTTATTAAATATTTAGAATATTTAACACCGACACTGGTAAATGATGTTAGCTGACAGCAGAAATAGGCACTAATTATTACAAAACAAAACTGTCTTCTTAGACATCATTTTAACATACATTTCTTAGAGAACAAAAAAATGTCACATGTAGATGTCAGGTCCAAAAAATGCACTTAAATTTGAGAGTTTACAAAGAAAACACATCTGACAAAGCAGAGGGGTGTACGACGGAGCAGGTTCAAGATAACCAGGTTTTCTTTTGCCTTAGCTGGCTTGACAAAACCTAAAATTCAAATCAAAGACAATAAATATCATGATGACAGTTGTCAACTTTCTTCATTTACCCGGGCTTTCTTCACTAGGCACTTCAATAAAAAGGTCTGTTTGATGCTTTATTGATTTTTCTTCCTCAAAAAAATACCGGTTGCGTGCTGCCTTCTTTAGTCATGAGGAACAAGTTGGCGTTACAGCTCAACAGGTTTGCAGATATAACATATTCCCTCAGCTGACAATCTGCATTACTAATAGAGAATATGTTCAGGAAAATATGTGGTGAAAGAGTGGTGCTGCATACAGCTGATTTAAAACCCAAACTCTGAAGAGAACCTCCTTCACAGCAGGTTTGCCGTGCAGCATCAGTTCCATGGAGGTTAAAAGAGAGCCACTATCATGACATCGAAAACTCATCGTAGTACACCCCTCAGGAGAAGAAATGTGTCAGGAAAATAACAATTTCTGCAACGTAGTCCTTACAAGAGAGGGTAAGTGTGAAACCGATTACACAGAGCACAAAGCCAACACCACAGTCAGCACAGGCTAGCTGCATAAATACAATACTCATGTGAAAAGTGAGGAATCAGAGAGTGTCGGTTTGGACCACGCTGTGGGTTTTTAAATGTCTCTTCAGGTGATTGAGGCAGGTGTAAGCCTTCGCACACAGCTGACAAGCGTAGGGTCGAACCCCTGTGTGGTTCATGGTGTGTTTTTTCAGTTCACTGCCCCGCGAAAAGCCTTTCCCACATTCTGAGCACACATAAGGCCGTTCCCCGGTGTGAACACGCATGTGAAGTGTCAGTTTGCTCGCCATGGTGAATCCCCTCCCACACACGGAGCACTTGTACGGCTTTTCCCCCGTGTGGGTGCGTCGGTGTATCTGCAGCTCGCCGGCTGAGATGAACGCCTTGCCGCAGTCGGAGCACAGATACGGTTTCTCCCCCGTATGAGTTCTTATGTGTATGTTTAGATTTCCTGACACAGAGAAGCGCTTCCCGCAGTACGTACACTGAAACGGCCTCTCGCCCGTGTGGCTGCGCATGTGAAGGTTCAGGTCGTGTTTGTTCTTAAAGGCTTTGCCGCAACGTACGCAAATCTGAGTTTTCTGCTGTCTGTGGCGAAGCTCGTGAGCTGTCAGAGAGCCGGTGGTGGCGAAAAATTTCCCGCACTGCTTGCACTGGTTGGACAGCTCCAGAGGATGAACCTTCTGATGGGTTCTGAGCTCACTCATACTGGGATAAACCTCCCCGCACTGTCTGCATGTGAAAACACGGATCTGGTTGTGAGTCTGCTCATGTTTGCCCAGCAGGTACATTTTTTTAAAGCTTTTTCCGCACTGAGAACAGTCAAACCTTTGGAGAATCTGAACACACTGGTGCCTAAATTTGTCCTGCATACACTGAAAGCTTTTCCCACATTTGATGCAAACATAAGCTGCCTTTGAGCACTGTGTCCGCCTGTGGGACGACAGATCGGAGGTCCTCCTGAAGGCTTTTCCACACTGAGAGCACTTGTAAGGGTTTTCTCCAGTGTGCAGCCGCTGATGCTCCAGGAGTTCGTAACGGTAGATGTAGCACTTCCCACACTGACTGCATTTGTGTGCAACTCTCTGTCTAGGAAGTCCAATAATAGGACCAGACGTTACAGGACTCTCTGCAGATGTAGAGGGAGTCTGGGAGGCGGCTGTTCCTCCCTCATCGTGCTCCTCCACAACGTGAACATCAGGAACGCTGTCAGTGGTTTTCTCTCCTGTCGTTTGTTCTGCGTCGCTGCTGTTCAGAATGTCTGACTCATTGTCAGGCGGCCATCTTGTATCCTGTAAGTCGAAATCTCCATCGTGTTGAAGAGCAGGCACCTCAGAGCTTCTTTGGTTGTCACATGATTGTGTGTTAGATTCAGCATCTTTGGCAACATCTTTCTCACTCAGTGAAGCAGGGAGAGATAATGACGAGAAAAGCCGCTGCTCTGACGGGGACGGTACTGTTAAAAAAAAATAAGTGAGAGAATTTCAATTTCAATTTTTGTTCATTTAAGATTGTTACCTTCCTGCTTCAAACACAAACTATATGTATGCATTGATGCTGCAATGACTTTTTAAGACCTTGATGTCACTTTATTGTATTTACATTTTGTACTGGGGAGGGTCTGAAGTATATTTATTATTGAGGTTAACTTTTCTGGAGGCCTGTAGGATCTATTTAGTTACTATTATTATTATTATTTACACCCTAACAGAAAAGAGGTACATTTTATCTTCTTTTTTTTTTTCCAGAGCGATGTATTGTTTGCCCACTATTTATGCAACCTGCAAGATTTTACGGGCGTTTATATTTGTTCAGGAGTGCAGTTTAGTCCTTCATGCCTTTAAACATTCATTCAATCGTCACCTCGCTGTTCAATGGAAACAGATTTAGTGTACATTTATGATTGCTTCTGTATGTGAGTGTTTCAGTTTTCCATTTATCTGTGAGATGTTGGAAATTGACATACAGTAAAACTATGGTGGGCATTCAAGCCCCCCTATAGAACGTGGAGGATGTGATTAGTTGCAGATTTACAGCCACTTCCTACTTAAGATGGCCTCTATTTGTCCCAAATCATTTGGCTGATTTAAGCACTCAGAAACATTGTGAATAATTGCATTTTTGCATGTTAGTGCGTGGGAGTGTGTCTGAATCAGTAATGTATCTGCAGCAACAATGTTCAGTTGTTTGATAGTCATTTACAATAATTACGTCTTTAAAAACAGGAAATTTTCACATTTGATCACTTTAAAAATCACTCACTGTGATTCTTAATGCAACAATACACACATAAACAGACTTACCGCTGGAGTCCATTTTGGCCATTGTACCGCGGCACGCCTTGTGTCTGAGCAACACTTTGAGGTCATCAGCTTTGGTTACAGACTGCATGCACTCCTCTAGCACAGAGGATGTTTCACTGATCCACACTGCAGCCTGTATCAAACAAATATACCTATTTTAATGCACTAGTACCAGTCTATTGATTTCTGTAACTGTACTGCAAATAGCTATGTGTACAGAAACAAACTGTGGCGTCTCTACCTGCTTAAAGTCGGGTATAAGCAGCAGCTCTTCCAGTTTGGTGAAGAACTCACAAACCAGTGTTTCCAGTGCTGTGTCAAAATCTGGTCCGTACTCCACAGGAAACACATTCTGTCAGGTAAAAGATTCAACAAGTGGAAGCCCCATTATACTGCATTGTTGGTTGGTTAAACAAACACGTTGCAGCTTTTTATGTGTAACTGTAAGACAAAAGCAGAGACACACGTTGAGGAAGTGTTCTCTCCCCTTTGAGTCTTCCAGGAGTCTTTGAACGAGCCTGACGAAGTTGGCTTCGAGGTCACCATTTCTTGGATGAACCTGCCGAGGTAAATACACACATCTAAGATGAGCAAAACGCTTTTAATCCAAAGGTTTTCAGTGTTCACAAACCTAAAGTCTCACACACCTGTCTTGAGCTAGTTTGCAGCAGGCTGTCCAAGTGCGTTTTAATGCCACAGAGATCCTCAGAACTTAACATCTGTAGCATCATCTGGAAAAGCCATTAAGCACAGATGGTTAAGAAAAGCAAAAAATCCCTCTGTGGATCTCAATGAGTACCTGAAAACAATAAAATCCAGCTGCCAGCTCCTTCTCATTTATTGCTACTGTCTGCCTACATTCTGAAATGAAATGGAAGAAATGGGAAAAAAATACTAAAATGACTTACAATAAATCTAACTGCACTAATTGTACTTTTTAAAAATCTACATATATGACACTAAATGCTCTGTCATCTTTACTTTAAGTGTGTATTTGCAGAAATTTAGGTTAGAGTCAGTCAAGAAACAGCTGGATTAGTAAACTCAATCCTGCTAAGATTATAAAAACAGCAATTCTACTATCAAATATTCACTATAAAGTTTTCACACAACAAACAATACTTTTTAAACCAATATCTGCTGAAAACTAATAAACAGTATGTTGGTTTATGGCATGTCTGAGTGTCTTACCTTTGCTTTTAAGCCCAGTGACAGCAGGCTTATCTGTCTCTCTGTCAAGATGTCAGGAATGGCTTCAGCGACTAAACACACAAACTCCTCCACTTTCCCATAATGCTTTATGTTTCTCAGACGAACCACCTTCCACATCACGGCCGACATAACCCGCAAAGGTGGAACCAGGAGCCTCAGCGATGACAGGGGCAGGGGACCCTCTGCAAGGGTGAAAGCAATACACTGATCCAGTCACAGGAAGCTTTACTCAAACACAAGATTGATAAAGCATCAATAACAAAATTTCTACGACTCTATCAGAAAGCTGGAGTGAGAAAACAACTGATAAAAACAAGAGGCCATTTGAGTGGAGGTGGAAGGAATCGACCACTTATCTGCCGGACCAATTATCTGATTCAATAGTTAGCAATTTTCCAGTTATAGTTTTCCATCCTGATTCCTGACAAAATAAACTGCCTCTATCTGTAATCACTACTTTCTGGGTAATCAGTCCTTCCCCACAGCATCGGATTCATTACAGTCCATCTGTAACAGTGATATCAACACTAAAGGATCCATCCATCCATTATCTATACACTGCTTAATCCTCACTAGGGAATGATGCTTTGTCCATCCATCCATCCATCCATCCATCCATCCATTATCTATACACTGCTTAATCCTCACTAGGGTCGCTCAGCTGACTCAGGGTGAAGGCAGGGGACACCTGGACAGGTCACCAGTCTATCACAGGGCTACACTTAGAGACAGACAACCAAGCACACTCACATTCACACCTACGGACAATTTAGAATCACCAATTAACCTCAACATGTTTCTGGACTGTGGGAGGAAGCCGGAGAACCCGGAGAGAACCCACACTACACGGGGAGAACATGTAAACTCCACGCAGAAAGATCTGAGGCGTCCTAACTGGGGTGTGAACCGGGGATCTTCCAGCTGTGAGGCAACTGTGCTAACCACCGAGCCACCGTGCAGCCCACACTAAAGGAAAAATGTTGAAAAATTCACTTTTAATTAAACATATGTCAGACATAAACAAACATTCCAACATAGTCTTGGATGATTGTCTAAATTTCGACACTGAGATATACATTTTTACTACAAATAAATCCATATTTGGCCTGCTTGATTACTAATACCTAGTACTTCTATTACTTCTGAAGAAAAAAAATAAGCACATTGGTCAACATCCCAGAGTGTGGATTACACCAACAAAATGCCAGTATTGTGTGACTTGTTCATCTCTGAGACATGGTGTCAGACAGCAGTCAGATTAGCCACAACACAGACTGCATTCATTCATTAGCTTTAATTGAGTGTGCAGATAGTTTGTGATGTGAGCGTTTCCGCCACCTGTTGAAAGCTATTCTATTCTCCTATGTAACTGGAAAAGTGTCATTTTGCTCCCTTTAAAATTTTGTTTCTCTGGTTAAATGTGTTGTCTTTAACATAAACACAAATTGGCTATGGTGGTAGAGATGCACAACAAGAACTTGGTGCTTCACAACATCACGGACGCGCAAAACTTCAGTCTTCTGTTTGTTATTGGTAATAAATCGTGCAAACATAACATAAACTGCCATTTCTTTTCACTCCCTACGTTACAGTTGAGTAAAAAAAAACATCGCTAGCAGGACTGGTGACAGCTGCCAGATTGATGAGTGACAGCGAGGAAGTTAGCAGACAAGCTAACAGCATCAAAACAAACCGACATGAGCCCATTAAAAAAATAAAACGTTACCCATTTTATTCCCCCGAAGAACTACAATAGTTGGCTGGACACTGAGGAATGTCTCCTAGTTATAAATATCCTCCTCCTATAGCGACCAGCTGTCAAAACGAGCTTTTAATTCAACACCTGACTGCTTGTGTCTCGCTGTCAAATGCACCTGAGAGACACTTCCGGTTTCTTCTTCTTCGTGGTTTATATTTAAGTTGTTTCTGCTCGACCGCCGCCCGCCGACCGTCTGCTGCAAACACCTCATCTACAGCAAACACACAGATCTAATGTTTCTTTTCACAAATCTCACTCGAGTTTATCACTTTTATGTAATTTCCAATTATCAAATAAAAAGCAACACAACCATGTAGCAATAAACTATAGAAAACATGTTGAGAGAGGAAGTATTCTAATTTTATGCAGCTGTAAAGGGCTACTTGTTGTTCTTACTCGCAAACTGACAAAAATGTGGTTTCTATTTGTACATTATCACCGGATTTTGGTTGATTCCAACTTTAAACAAAGTTAAAGAGAGAGTGAAAGGACAATGATAAAGAAATGTATAATAGTAGAAAATAGTAGAAAATTTAAAGACACATTCTGGTAACAGGGCTGCACGGTGGAGCAGTGGTTAGCACTGTTGCCTCGCAGCTAGAAGGTCGCTGGTTTGTGTCCCGGTGAGGACACCTGGGATCTTTCTGCGTGGAGTTTGTGGGTTCTCTCCGGGTTCTCCGGCTTCCTCCCACACAGTCCAAAAACATGTTGAGGTTAATTGGTGATTCTAAATTGTCCGTAGGTGTGAATATGAGTGTGCTTGGTTGTCTGTCTCTAAGTGTAGAGAGTGTAGCCTAAGTGGTGACCTGTCCAGGTGAACCTGCCTTCACCCTGAGTCAGCTGGGATAGACTCCAGCCCCCCACGACCCTAGTGAGGATTAAGCGGTGTATAGATAATGGATGGATGGATGGATTCTGGTAACATAGAAGAATCACACTATGGGACCACAGTGAGGGGCCAATCAGGTCAGTCCGTTTTCAATTTAGGACTCCTGTCAATTTTCTGCATTTTTAATTGACAGCAAATTTAATATTTAATAAATATATTTCTATTAGGATTTTATGCAGACGTACTGTACTAAATATCTGTGTGACACTGTGTCAAACTGACACATAGTGAATTTACAAGGAGCAAAAGAGGAGGTGAAATCATAAAGAGACAGTATGTAAACACATAAATATGCCTCTAAATTCTTTAACATATGCTCTCTAATTAACCATAAATATTACATGTTGCTATTTTCTGTGTTTCCTTCGACGCCCAGATTTACTTTCTATCCAGAGAACCAGACGCCATCAGTTCCTCAAGCCGATCTGTAGTTGCATGGATCTCCTGGTGGTGGCAGTGAAGGATATGAAACTGCAACGACCGCGTTTGTCAGGAACAGCAGATCCATGGGAGAAGTAATTAGATGGTGCCTCATCAGGCCATCTGCACACACAGCCACCATGCCCAAGTAAATCCCTTGTACCTAAAAAGGCTATTTCCTCCTCTACTTTTTTCTTTTTGTTTTTTTTAGTTTCAGCCCTTTAAGTAAAGCCAACCTCAGCTTTTACAGCTTTTACTTTGACATCATCAACAGTCAACAAGCAGGTCAGCAGTAACAACTTGCAACCGTAGCTGGGGCACAGACTAACTTTAAATGTGAATTTCAATGTCAAATTTCTTAAAACCAAGAGAAAATAAATTTCAAAAAAATCTGCATTAATTCTAAACTACAAAAGGCCACATCTGCCAGGAAAAATGAAAAATAAAAAAAAAACTCTCCTAAGACGTGAAAATTATAAGATCAGAAGGTCAGGTTTTGAAATACTGAAGCAAAAATTGATTGTGAAACGTCACAATGATGGAACGGATACGGCAAGACTGATGACAAACTAAAAATAAAGTGATCCACAGTTGCTGCAGAAGGAGAAGAGTGAGCTACAGTACCACTAATCAGAACCCTTTAAATGACCCCGCTGACGGTGCACTATTTGAATAATCTGCCGCTGAAAACAAATGAGCAAGTGCTTCAGACTTGGTGAGAAAACAGTGAGAAGGACGCAACATAAAATCAGCCTCTAATGTTGACAAAAGGGGCTGCAAGGTGGCTCGGTGGTTAGCACTGTCGCCTCACAGCTAGAAGTTCACGTGAAAATCTCTACACGGTAGTTTGTTTGTTTTCTTGGGTTTCCTTTATTTTTAAACTGACAGCTCCACATAGTGAGGTTTAACTTTTTGTTGTTCAGGAATCTTTATTCTCCACCGAGTAAAGAACAAACCAAAGGGAAACACGGGAACATTTCTTGGCTCCGCTCTTGTAAATGCTGAACTTTTAAAGGACCAGCCCTCCTTCCAGCCGATTGATTACCAAATGAAAACAGCATGAAACTGGAAAAAAATGGCTGCAAGGTGGCTCGGTGGTTAGCACCGTTGCCTCGCAGCAGGAAGTCGCTGGTTTGCGTCCCAGTAAGGACACCTGGGATCTGTCTGCGTGGAGTTTGCATGTTCTCCCCGTGCTCCCCGGTTCTCTCCGGGTTCTCCGGCTTCCTCCCACACAGTCCAGAAACAATCAGAGTTAATCAAAAGCTAATCAGAGTTTCCACTGTCCTGAGGTGCCCTAATAAATAAATGCCAATTTAAATCAAAATTATAAGACACTGAGGCAAAATGATGAAGTGTAAAGTCGCTATTTTGGCTTCTGAAATTTAATTCTTAAATTTAATTGGTTTTTAATGACTTGAATTAAAATAAAAAGTATTATTTTTAAGGAGATACAAAAGTTTTGACTCATTTTGGCTGAGTGACTACTTTTAACGATTATTTTATTCATAATTTTTTTATGGTTTTTTTTTTCTTAGCAAAAATAAGCTTCCATAAAAACCACTGAAACAAACTCAAGAAAAAGTCTGATTTATCAAAAACATAACAAGTTGAGATAAACTCTTCATATATGAACATTTTTGGGAAAACCAAAGCTGCACATCCAGGATGGACTTTTATCAGCTCGTACATCATGTGATAAGTGTGATGGACGGATTTAAAAACACAGAAACTATCATGTTGAAAAATGAATTAGATCCCCGCTGACCCGACAGACTGATGATGATGATGATGGGACACAATGTGACTCATGACATTCATTTTACTTAATGTTATCTGAATATATGGCACACATTTAACATGCAATTCATCAAATGTATTACAGTTTAGCATGTTCACATTATACGCGGTCCGTTCCTAATGCACTGGCATTGCTGAGTTTCACTGGTGCCGTTTTGTAATTAGACATAGTGCCTTTTTAATCTTTTTAAAAATGTTTTCTCTCCCTGATGAAGCCGTAATCTCCACCACATGTCCAAATGCTTAAAAATCAGATCAATTACCAAGTCACATTCAGTCAAGTTACATTTTTTCTGGCACTTGGCGCACAAACCCAAATTAATTTCAGAGCAAGCATCTGCCTTTTATGGGGATGGACGGCTGAAGTTTGGTGTGTGT